CTAATCGCCCTAAAAAGTAAAATGTAACCTTCACCTTCCATGATGGGAGCCCCCGGTGGCGCAGTGGATTAAACCACTGAGCTGCTGAATTTGCTGACCAAAAGGTTGCAGGTTCGAATCCAGGGAGTGATGTAAGCTCTCACTGTTAGACCCAGCTTCTGCCAATCTAGAACTTTGAAAATATGCAAATGTGAGTAGATCAATAGGTACCTCTCCAGCGGGAAGGTAACAGCACTGCATGCAGTCATGCCAGCCACATGACCTTGGAGGTGTCTACGAAAAACGCTGGCTCTTCGGCTTAGAAATGGAGATGAGCATCAATGCCCAAAGTTGGGCACGACTGGAGTTAATGTCAGGGGAAAACCTTTGCCTTTAACCTCCAATGAATTTAATTGGAATGCGTTGTTGAAGACTTTCAGGGGCTGGGCTTACCACAGCAAGCTAAATTGCTGTGCTGGAGAAAAATCCTGCCGATAGGAAGATTGGCAGTTCAAGCTTGGGATGGGGTGAGCACTCGCCATTAGCCCCAGCTCACCTGCCCACCTAGCAGGTCGAAAGCAGAAATGCGAGTAGAAAAATAGGTATTGCTTTTAGTGGGGAGGTAATAAAGGCTGCCTTAAGGACATCATCGGAGGAAAGCTCATCAACATGGAAGATGGAGCGACAACACCCCCTGTGGCCAGAGTAGAGCACAGCCTCCTAGATGCCAGAAATAAGACTGGACAAACGGCCTATACCTCTGTTCATGTTGTCTGTCCTTGTTAATTGCATAATCGGCATTGAATATTTGCCATATGTCTGTTCTGTGAAGCCGCTCTGAGTCCCTTTCAGGGTGAGAAGGGCAGGGATATAGGGCTGTGTGGAAGGGCCCACTGAGGGCTCTTCCAGACAGGCCCTATATCTCAGGATCCGATCCCAGGTTTTTTGCTTTAAACTGAATTATAGTATGAGTAACAGAGTTCACATTATTTCTCCATCTCGGCAGAGCAGATGAACAGCTGAATTCTCCTCCTGTAGTGTTTCATCCATGTTTGATCTGAAAGTCACTTCCACGTAGATAATAGCTCTTTGGGGAAGAACTACTAAACACACTTTGAGAATTATTGGTGCTTATCCAACAAATATTTAACAAAGCCACTTTATGACCCAATATTTGGAGGCCTGTGCAAATCCTCCTCAAGAGCCCATTCAGATTTTTGCTTTCTTGGTGCTGATCCTTTTTGGGGACTTGCGTCCTGCTTTGCCAACTTAACAGTTTTAACACCAACAGGGGCTTGTGTCCGTCCTAAAAAAAATGGCTTCCATTTTGGAATTGCTTCTTCTACTTTTGCCCAGTAAAGAGTCTCAAGATTAACAATATCGGGGTGGAGAAGTAAGTGTTCTCGTGAGTGTAGCTTCTTCTCTGCTGCTTCGATATCAGCTAAAAGTACAGTATATTCTGGCGTATAAGACTACTTTTTAACCCAAGAAAATCTTCTCAAAAATCAGGGGTCGTCTTATACGCGGGTGTAGTCTTATGCATGGGAGTCGTCTTAATCTCTATATTTTAACTGGAAAAGTTGGGGGTCGTCTTATACACCCAGTCGTCTTATATGCCGGAATATACGGTACTACATTTCTTTTATGAGCTGCATCAGCTTCTTGCGTTTGCCATGTCTTTTCAGCTTCTTTGTCTCCTCGATGACTCTCCATCTGCTGAAGCAACACCAATCTCTGAGACAGGATTTCATCATGTTTTTTAGCAAGTTGAACTTCTTGTGCTAAATAGGATGCCATCTTTAGTCATGGAAAGAAGACTCCAGTTTTACAACTCACTATGATGGGGAAAAGCAACAAATATTCCCTCGCAGCTCTCTCTTCACTTCCTTCACTCCCGCTTTGGTGAGATGATCCAAGTCTCGTGACATCACTACAATCAACTGAATTATATGAGTCCTCGCTACCAGATAATCTGGGATAAACAGAAAATCAGGGACCAGATCCAGAGACCTAGGGCCTGTCTGAAAGGGTCCTGAGAGAGAGAGCCTGGCTCAAATCAGTGAGTTCTGAAGTCAGACTCCAGAATCAGATCCTCTAACCCAACCTTTTTTTTTTAATCAGGAATGACTTTACCAAGGACCACTTTGATCAGGGACCACTTTGACCACGGTCCACTCTCCAACATTAGTACCAAAAGGGTTACAAATCAGTTTTTGGACAACTTTAGATTTGGTTTGGTTATTTGTGCTGCTGATTCAGAAAACTGTATTGCAGAAAATTGCCACCGGATTAGTCTTCTCCACCATAGCCCGGGAAGCCCTCCAAAGTTGAGAAAGTGCTGGCAAGGCCAACATGCTGTGTCTCCTTCCTTTCTTTCTTCTCTCCCTCTCCTTTTCTCTCTTGCTCTCCTCCAACGGCAGCACACACCCCCGGCACCATTTTTCGCCACATGTCTCGCGGCCCATATTCTAGGTCTTGTGGCCCACCAGTGGGCCATGGCCCACAGGTTAGGAACTACTGCTCTAACCACATTATCACACCAGGGTTTTTAAGTGGGCAGCCCCACATTTCTGCCATCTGCAGAATTCTGGGAAATGTAGTTTAGGGATAGATCTTTTGAATTCTCAAAGGTCCTCGCCTTCCCAAACTACATTTTCCAGAATTCTGCAGGTGGGAGAAAGTCCTGGCATGATATCATACGCCCCTTCTACACAGCTGTATAAAATCCATATTACCTGCTTTGAACTGGATTATAAAGCAGAAGTGTAGACTAAGATAATCCAGCTCAAATCAGATAATGTGGATTTTCTGTTCTGACAACCTGAATTATCTGGCAGTGTAGAATGTCAATCCAACAATCTTTTCTTGCAGAACAGATACATCCGGTATCAGTATACTAACATTAACCTCAGCAGACTGAAAGCCAAAACCAAGGTCACAACAACATCTGTTATAGAACTCCAGTATGCTGAAGACAACATCATCTGTGCACATTCAGAAGAAGACCTACAAGCCACTCTAAACATCTTTATAGAAGCATATGAGAAGCTTGGCCTCTAATTGATCATCGAGAAAACCAAAGTGCTTTTCCTGCAGTCACCAGCCAATTCCAATGTTGTGACTCAGCTGGAATCACAGTGTGAAAGTGTTAATGATTCTGATGAGGATGATGGGATTCAGTTTCACAATTGTCCAAATGCCTCATCACCGTCTCCCAAAACAGTTACTATACTCCAAACTCAAGAATGAGAAACAGAATGTTGGTGGATAGGAAAAGAGATTGAAAGATGGACTTAAAGCCAACCTTAAAAACTGTGGCATAGACACAGAGAACTGGGAAGCCCTGGCCCTTGAGTGCTCTAACTGGAGGTCAGCTGTGACCTGCAGTGCTGCAGAATTCAAAGAGGCACAAATGGAGGGTATTTTTTTTATCATGTCATCAGCAACCAGACAGTTGTATTACATTTTTAACAAAAACAAACAAACTATCAGACAAAAACACAGAATGTGTAAGCTTGGTAGTTGATTAAATGTCCTTTGACCAGTAGCTGGCCACTTGGAGTGCCTCTGGTGTTGCCGCAAGGAGGTTCTCCATTGTGCATGTAGCAGGGCTCAGGTTGCATTGCAGCAGGTGGTCTGTGGTTTGCTCTTCTCCACACTTGCATGCCATGGATTCCACTTTGTAGCCCAATTTCTTAGGATTGGCTCTGCATCTCGTGGTGCCAGAGCGCAGTCTGTTCAGCGCCTTCCAAGTCGCTCAGTTTTCCGTGTGCCCAGGGGGGAGTCTCTCATTTGGTATCAGCCATTGATTGAGGTTCTGGGTTTGAGCCTGCCACTTTTGGACTCTCGCTTGCTGGGGTGTTCCAGCGAGTGTCTCTGTAGATCTTAGAAAACTATTTATTGATTTAAGTCATTGACGTGCTGGCTGATACCCAAACAAGGGATGGGCTGGAGATGTCACTGCCTTGGTCCTTGGAGGACCAAATGGAGGGGGAAAGGGGGAAACATGCCAAGAGGAAGGTGCATCAAGCCAACCCTGACTGGGACCGCCTTCCACTTGGAAACCAATGTTTCCAGCAGAACATGCGGATCAAGAATAGGGCTTCACAGCCACCTACGTACCCACCACCAAGACACTACATTTGGAAGACCATCATCCTTTAGCTACAAGGGATCACCTAGGTAAGTAAGTACTCATCTGAGGATTTCATTGGTGGATTCCTTACTCCACCTGAGTCATTCTTCCGGGCTTTAAGACACAGTGATGTCATTCTGCCTAAATCAAGAGGAATAAATAATACCGTAGTCCCTTAAGTACAGAAGACTGGAGCAACCTGCATTATAAAGCAAGCATCTAAATTGAAAAAAGGAGCTTCAGCAGGCAGAGGAATGCACCAGGGGAGGAAGAAGGCAACAAAGGATGGGCAAAGGAGAGAGAGAGAGAGACAGAGAAAACAGAACATCCAGCAGCTCATCGGGGTTTTATTGATTGCCAGCTTTTAAATTCTACCCAGTCATTTTTTTCTCTCTGATGTAATGCCCAGTAGTTTTGCTCATGAGGCAAAGCAGTTCTTAACCACATCCCTTCTGCAGAGAAGCAGAACAGAGTAGCCTGATTTGCAAGGGAAGCTTTGAGCCAAAAGAATATTGTGAGCGATCATCTGGGTAGTGCAGGAAGGAAAGGAAAAGGACTGAGAGGGCAAAAAAAGGAGAAAAGGCAGGGAACTCAAAGCTAATGCAGGCAGCTGAAAAGAGAGAGATGAAGAAGTGAAAAAGGAAAGGAACACTGCACTTGCAGAGCTGCAAAGAGAGAGAAAGAAAGGCAGGAGGAGAAGAGACCTGCATGATGAGTCACCCAAATAATGAGAAGACCGAAGACACTCCACCTCCATACTCCGAATATCAGCTTTATGAAGAACCTGATCTACTGAAACCTCCTTCGGGGCCAGCCCCACCACCTATGGGTTATGGGGCAGTGCCTCCTCTGCCGAGTCAGTGTCCACCTTATTACAGTTCACCAGGGGTGGTAGGACCCAGCGAGGGAGTGCTCTTTCATCCGCCGCAGGCCGTCTTCATCACACCGGTCCAGCCTACCTATGTACCTGATTACCTGGCCTACTCCATCTTTACCATGCTTTGTTGCTGTGTTCCTTTGGGCATTGTTGCCTTTGTTTATTCTATGCTGGTAAGTGTCTGTGTTTGCCAGGAAGAGGCAGTGTCACTGCAAACTAAAAAAAGAGAAGAGAAACTCCCTTTACTGCCTTTTTATATGATATCATAATTATATATTTTATATTGCATGTAATATTACTAAGAATATTACAATATAATGGTACAGTACAATATAGTAATATATAATACTGATATTGTACTATGCTAATAATATAATATATTGTATGTATATGTTTGTGTGTGTGTGTATGTATGTATATATATACGTGTGTATATATATACGTGTGTATATATATACGTGTGTGTGTGTGTGTGTGTGTGTGTGTGTGTATATATATATATATATATATATATATATCTCTTGTAAGCCGCTCTGAGTTCCCTTCGGGGTGATAAGACCAGGCATATAAATGTCGTAAATAAATAAATAAATAAATTTATGCTAACTTAGCTAGAGCATTTACTTGCATCAGCTGCAAGCCATTGCAGTAGAACCCCTTGTGATAACCTACTTTTCCCCAGCTTTGAGAAAAATATGGGTTGGAGAAAGATGTAGTTAAACATGCAGAGGATATACTCTGGATTTTTAGATTCCATTTGAGGCTTCCTTCCTCAGCCTTAAGTGTGAAGAGGATTGCTACAGGAAGTGGTCTGGCTTGTCGTAGGTTTTTCAGGCTTAATGACCATGTTCTAGAAGCATTCTCTCCTGATGTTTCATCTGCATCTCGAGCAGGCATCCTCAGAGGTTGTGAAGTTTGTTGGAAACTAGGAAAATTGGGTGTATACATCTTTGGAAGGTCCAGGGTGGGGGAAAGAACTCTTGTCTGTTGGAGTTAGGTGTGAATGTTTCAGTTGGCCACCTTGATTAGTATTTGATGGCCTGACAGTTTTTAGGTGTCGCTTGTTACTGCCTGAGAAGTAACAAGCCACATCTTTGTTGAGAGATGATTATGTGTTCCTGATTGTTTCTTGTCTGGAGTTCCCCTGTGTTTGAGGAAGTGGTCTGTTGGCAAGAAAAAAACAAAAACAAAATGGAGATGGGGTGCAGAAAATCATAGAATCATAGAATCAAGAATTGGAAGAGACCTCATGGGCCATCCAGTCCAACCCCCTGCCAAGAAGCAGGAATATTGCATTCAAATCACCCCTGACAAATGGCCATCCAGCCTCTGCTTAAAAGCTTCCAAAGAAGGAGCCTCCACCACACTCCGGGGCAGAGAGTTCCACTGCTGAACGGCTCTCACAGTCAGGAAGTTCTTCCTAATGTTCAGATGGAATCTCCTCTCTTGTAGTTTGAAGCCATTGTTCCGCGTCCTAGTCACAACTAAGCCATCTGCAGGGTTAGCTGTCTGATATATTGTCAAAGGCTTTCATGGCTGGAGTCACTGAGTTGCTGTAAGTTTTTTGGGCTGTATGGCCATGTTCCAGAAGCATTCTCTCCTGACGTTTTGCCTGCATCTATGGCAGGCATCCTCAGAGATTGTGAGATCTGTTGGAAACTAGGAAAATTGGATTTATATATCTATGGAATGTCCAGGGTGGGACAAAGAACTCTTGTCTGTTGGAGGTAGGTGAGGCTGTGTTAATTGGCCACCTTGATAAGCATTTCATGGCCTAGCAGTTTTCAAGGTGTGGTGTCTTCCTGCCTGGGGGAATCCTTTGTTGAGAGTTGATTAGCTGGTTGAGTGTTGCAGTAAATTCAAGCAAGAGTCTTTTGGATCTTCCTTTTCTATCTAGGCCTCCGTTTGGAGTCCACCCGGATAATGGAACAGTACAGTGTTTTTATTGTAAAAACTGTGAATACACAATGAGTTTCTGGTGCCCAGGGCTGTAGCAGGAAATTTCCTCATGGTTTTCTTTGCTTTTCTAGCTGGAAAATATCTCTTGTACCATTTGTATTGTAGAATGACTTGGCTGTTCGGGGAAGGCTGTACAGCAGTGCTTCTCAACCTGTGGGTCGCCAGGTGTTTTGGCCTACAACTCCCAGAAATCCCAGCCAGTTTACCAACTGTTAGGATTTCTGGGAGTTGAAGGCCAAAACATCTGGGGACCCACAAGTTGAGAACCACTGCTGTACAGGCTTTTAGCTAGGCACTCCCATCTAGCTAGGTTTCTGACAATGTTTAAGCTTGAAATGCATTTCATTACACAACTGATTATTTAATTCATCCGCTGGGTTTCTGAAAAAGTTGAGGTGGCAACAAAGTACTTCCTCATAGAAGGTTTTGTCACTTGCATGTGGAAGTGGAAGGCGCTCTGGCAAGCAGGATGCTTGGGTTGGGGCAGGGCTCAATGGTACACACACAAACTGAGCGGGTGCTATTTTGTAGGACACCATCATGAACTCCTTCCAGGTAGCCCTGGTGATAATCATTTTCATCTCTCGGAATTCCCTTTAGTGTTTTAGCCAAGCTACAATATAGAGTTGTGGTTCTCAATGTGTGGGTCCCCAGGTGTTTTGGCCTACAACTCCCAGAAATACCAGTCAGTTTACTAGGTGTTTTATTTCTGGGAGTTGAAAGCCAAAACATCTGGGGACCCACAGATTGAGAATCACTAGAGTATAGGAAACCTCATTTGCAGTGAGTCAGGCCACCTTACACAGTCTTGTGAGCTCTACCTCAGTGGTTCCTAACCTTTTTTGACCAGGGACCACTCTCCAACATTAGTACCAAAAGAGTGGAGACACCTTTTCCCCATGATAATTCTTTCAGGAGTGGATTTCCCTTTCTAGGGGTAGATTTCTCTCACTTCCTGTTGTCTTAACTAGGAGTGCTTTGTAAGTCAGATGTCTATAACTTGGGAACCACCAGTACTTTGATCAGTGGTTTTCCTCGAATATCTCTTATTGGTTTGCCTCTGAGTAGTGTTGCCATGTAAGAGGTGCCGCTATATTGGATAAAGTTTGTGTACATGTGACACTGCAATATGAAGAAGGAATCTGGAAGTTGCTGGATCACCTGGTTAGGCCATTTTCCCCACCCTTCAATCTAGAATCTTCCCTGTTTTCATGGTCAAATGGCATTCCAATCTCTGCAGCACTCATTATACTCCTGAGTGGTCTAATTTTTTAATGCAACCTTTGGCAGTCATTGAACTCTCAAAGTTTCTGGAATCACCATTTCTCACCAAGCATGCAATATGTTAGGCAATTATCCAGCAGTAATGAATAATGAGTTCCAAATTGGCTCAGGTAGTACCACTGCTCTCTTTCCCCAGTTGTCATACACTTCTATTTCCAGATTGTCTTTGATCAGGGCCTTGCTTGGAAAAGTTAAGATTTCCTCAGAAGAATGCAGAAGATGGGAAAGCTTCTAGAACAGTGGTTCTCAACCTTTGGGTTCCCAGGTGTTTTGGCCTAAAACTCCCAAAAATCCCAGCCAGTTTACCATCTGTTAGGATGTTGAAGGCCAAAACATCTGGGGACCCACAGGTTGAGAACCACTGCTCTAGAAACCAGGCCTATGAAGAACATAGGTCGAGGTAAGTGGGCATATTTACCATGCAAAAGAAATGGCTTGATGATGGATACAACTGTTGGATACAATTACTATCTTCAAAAAACTGAAGGGTTGTCATTTTGTATAAGAAACCAGCTTGTTTGCTGCTATGCCAGAGTTTAAAGTCCAAACCAATGAATTCATATTAGACTCACAGGGCTCATCCAACTCAACTCTACCCTGTCATACATATTGAAATATGAAGAGTCAAATAAAAGGGTCAAACCAGGGCAATAATGCAACAGCAGTAAAACTCAGGGCCCATCTAGACAGGGCCTTTATTGCAGGAACATTCTGGACAGTCCCACATTATTTCATTACAAACCACGAAAACCCTGGTTTGTTGTGAATTAATTTGATAGTGCATTTATTCCACGCCTTCTTGGAAGGCGCAGGATAAATGTATTATTTTCAGGTCTGGACTGCAGAATACTGCAGTCTAGACAGTATTTTCACAATTTACTGGGCTAAATAAACCCGGTAAACTGTGGGAATACTCACCTCCCTTCTCCCAAGCCCTTAGATCCCTTAAAAAACTAAGAAAAACTTATATAGCCTCCATTAGAAGCCCTGGCAAGCTCTCCCGACATGTAGAAATGATGCACCAGGAGGGGAGGGGAGGAGGGAAGAAAATCGCTCCCCCCCCCTCCTAGCACGTCATTTCTATGCACCAAGAGAGCTTGCCGGGGCTTTTAATGGAGGCTACGCAAGTTTTTCTTAGTTTTCTAAGTGATCTGGGGGCTTTGGGAGAGTGGGGTAGGGCCTCCACACAGTCTCTTGGGCTAGTTCCGACAGAACGTGTGGACACCCACCCTAGAAAGTGCGTGCTTTCTGAGGTGGGTGCGGACAGCCTCCAAAAAAATCCGTATTTTTTTAATGTAGATAATTTTGGGATAAAGGGATGTCTGGAACTGCCCTGAGTTAGAGCCTTAGTGCCAGTTCAGTGCCAATTCAGCCTAGACTTATTATTAGGTAAATTGATATAAATAAAAATGTAATGTTAGTTTGTGGGATTAACCTAACACAAAAACCACTGGATGAATAGACACTAAATTTGGATACAATACACCTATCAGGCCAACAAGCGACCATCACTCATAAAAAGCAGAAGAGACTTTAAAAGCCACCCCCCCCCAAATATACATTACAACGCATGCGCAAAACCAGATATATATATACACAGACACACACATATACACACACAAAACACACATACACAGACTGGGCCACAGCAGCTTGTGGCAGGGGATGGCTAGTGCCTAATAAATCTGACTATACTATCCAATTCAACCAATTGTTGCATTGTGAGTCAAGACAGAGAAATCTAATTGATTTAATATGCATACTCTTGTCAAAGCAATATAATTTAGGCCATGATTAGATGACACAAGCAGCCCCATTTCTTCCTGCCAGAAATCTCCTCCAGTTTCTGTTTTTTCTTGACTCCATCATGTGTTTCTCTCTTCCTTTCCAGACACGTGCTGCCGTCGGTGCTGGGGACACCACAGTTGCACGAACAAACTCCAGGCGAGCACTGTTTTATGCCAACTTAGCCGTGTTGTTTGGGGTCATGGCTTTGATTGTGTACCTCCTCTTGAAAATGACTGTTGCTAAAAGGGTAGACTGAGGATGTGCCCTTTAACATTCATAGCCAGAAGATCCTGCTCCTCCAAGGTACAAGTCTGAAGAATGCTGGTTTGACATCCTGCTCCTGGAATTGTTCAGCAAAGGGGCATGCAGCAGGCTGTTCCAACATGTTAAACGCATCAGGAGGCAAAAGGACCAGAAACGGGACATGTATGCTGCCAAGCCTTGCGTTTGATATCATATAGGACTATCTTTAAAAACTGGTGACAAGTGATAAACGTCAAATACGTATATATCTCAGACTAAAATAATACAGCAGGTGCAGGCAACCCAACTGGTGTCAAAGAGCAAGTAGGAACACTGGTATATTTGATGAGTGAACAGCACAGTTATTAATTGGCTTGGCATTGTCAATGGAACTATATTATTACCCTTCTGTAAAGATGACAAAGCTTGAGAAAGTATTTTTTTGGACTGCAACATGCATTCTTTCATTTTTGGGGACTTATTTTCACAAAATAATTACAATCACAGACTATGAAATGATGCTATATGGTTAGATCAGCCCATGCTAGGTGCATCTTTCCTCTCTGCCCACTCTCTTCTCTTTGCTCTGACCACCGATCCTTCCTGGTCCTTCAACCAGCCATCTCTTTTCTGACCTAAGTTTCCAGACTTCCTTTTGTTTGCCCACCTTCTCAGAAACATGTGAAAACAGGGACTCTTTTCTTCTTAGCCTGTACCATGATTACTGCACCTCCAGTATACTTTTCTACATATTATAGGTAGAATTCTGTTGGTGATATATATGGATTAAGCATACATCTGTCCATTTGTTGAAAGTGGCAAGCCTGGTACTTAATGGCTCCTGACTCAACATTCAACAACGACAACCAGGCAGCATCCATGTTTAGGAGAACACCAATATGGCCATTGCACTGCTTGGGAGTTGGAGATTTATTTATTTATAGTATTTATATACCGCTTTTCTCGCCCCTGTGGGGACTCAAACCAGTTTACAAAAAATAATGGCAAAATTCAATGCCTTACATATATAAACCAAACCATAAATCAAACAGCATATGACTAAGCATAAAATGCAATAGGACAAGTTCACCATAAGATAATAGGACATTAAAACATTAAGTATAAAAATTAAAAACATTAAAATCACATGATCCAAATTCAGACCAGATGTTGATTACACATCTGTATTGCACAGATAATTATGTAAATTAAGTTAAGTCATGTCTGACTATGGAGGTTGGTGCTCATCTCCATTTCTAAGCTAAAGAGCCGGCATTGTCTGTAGACACCTCCAAGGTCATGTGGCCAGCATGACTGCATGCAGTGTTGTTACCTTCCTGCTGGAGCAGTATCTATTGATCTACTCACATTAGCATGTTTTTGAACAGCTAGGTTGGCAGAAGCTGTGGCCAACAGCAGGAGCTCACACCACTACCCGGATTCACACCACTACCCGGATTCAAACCTGCGACTTTTCAGAAAACCTGCGACTTTTCAGACTTTTCAGCAGCTCAGTGGTTTAACCCACTGCATCAATTATACTGGGCCAAATGCTTGCTCCCAAAGCCAAGTTTTCTCTTGTTTGCAAAATGACAGGAGGAAAGGGACTGATCAAATCCCACTAGGAAGTTCCACAGTCAAGGAGCCACCACTGAGAAGGCCCTGTCTCTCATCCCCACAAGCCATGCCTGCGAATGTTATAATCTTATCTCTCCTCACCACCTTGTCTGTTTCTCCTTTCTTCACCCCTGAAGAAGATCCTGAAAACATCATTGTGATATGTTAGATTCCCAGCATGTTATAGTTGTAAGCTCCATGAAATTTAGCTGGCCTGCACAGATAGCATTGCCATTTTTGTTGCTAGTCTTATCATCTAGGCCTATCATCATTATCATCATCATCATCTCTGAGCAACTCATTAAAAGCAGAGATTTATTAATTCGGTTTTTGTGTGTGTTAAAATCAGTGCTTTGATATGTAATAAAATAAAGTTTGACTATTTTTTCTGTTTAAAACAGAACTTAGAAAACTTTCCTTGTTTAGATAAATTTCCATGTGCTGTTAAAAATAGTGGTTTGGGAAAGTGTTAAGAATAGAGCTGGGAAAATCTGCTCAAAACGGACAATGTCCTTTTGGGCTAATGGCCCAATCTATTCTTTGAAGAAGTCCTTCCAAAAGATGTCAAAAACTGGACTATGTTTGGCTTTTCATATTTAGTGCAGAGCTCAGAAAACATACTTTTTACCCTTTTTTATCGTGTCCAAAACAACTTGAGAAACTGCAAGTTGCTTATGGTGTGAGAGAATTGGCTGTCTGCAGAGACGTTGCCCAGGGGACACCCTGATGTGTTACCATGCTGTGGGAGGCTTTTCTCATGTTCCTTCATGGAAGCTAGAGCTCACAAACAGGAGCTTACCTGATTTGACCCGCCAACCTTCAGGTCAGCAGTTTAACCAGCACAAAGGGTTTAACCCAATGGTTCTCAGCGTGTGGGTCCCCAGATGTTTTGGCCTTCAACTACCAGAAATCCTAACAGCTGGTTAACTGGCTGGGATTTTTGGGAGTTGTAGGGACAAAACACCTAGTGACCCCCAGGTTGAGAACCATTTGGTTAAATCCTTTCTGCCGGTAAAACTGCTGACTTGAAGATCAGCGGGTCAAATCAGGTGAGCTCCTGTTTGTCAGCTTTAGCTTCCATGTAGGGACATGAGAAAAGCCTCCCACAGCATGGTAACACATCCGGATGTCCCATGGGCAACATCTCTGCAGACGGCCAATTGTGTCACACCAGAAGCAACTTGCAGTTTCTCAAGTTGCTTCTGACATGATAAAAAGAGTAAAAAGTATGTTTTCTGAGCTCTGCGCTAAATATGAAAATGTGAGCACTAGTGGAGTTTGGAGGAAATAGACCTTGGCAATTGGGAGTTGGAATTGCTGGGATTTATAGTTCACCTACAATCAAAGAGCATTCTGAGCTCCACCAATGATAGAATTGGGCCAAACTTCTCACAGAGAACCCCCATGACTAACAGAAAATACTGTGTTTTCTAATGGTCTTTGGCAACCCCTCTGACACCCCCTCATGACACCCCCAGGGGTCCTGACCCCCAGGTTGAGAAAGACTGATCTAGAAGGACACCATGGTCAGTGGTGTCAAAAGCTGCTGAGAGTCTGGGAGAACCAACAGGGACACATTCCCCTAGCTCTCTGCGGAGGTCATCCACCAAGGCAACCAAAGCTGTCTCTGTTCCATAGCCTGGCCCGAAACCAGACTTAAATGGATCTAAATAATCAATTTCATGCAGAAATCCCTGGAGTTGGGAGGCCATCACATGCTCCAAAACCTTGCTCAGAAAGGGAAGGTTGGACACTGGACGATAGTTGTCCATTATAGAGGGGTTCAGGGGTGGCTTTTTAAATATCGGTCTCACAACTGCCTCCTTTAAGCAAATTGGAATTCTGTCTTGTTCCAAGGAGGCATTGACCACCACCTTCACCCACTCTGCCAATCCTCCTCTGGCCTGTTTGATCAGCCAGGAAGGGCAAGGATCTAGAATACATGTGGTAGCGCTTACCTCTCCAAGGATCCTGTCCATATCCCCAGGCTGCACAAATTGAAAGGTATCCATCAACACTGGACAAGCACGAGCAAGGGCTACATCCATTGGAACTATATCAATAACAGCATCCAAGTCAGTTTGGATCTGAATGACTTTATCTGCAAAGTGCTATGCAAATTCTTCACAGCGGCCTGTTGAATGGTCAGAATTTTCTTCTTAGGGACCAGAATGTAATAGCCCTCTGAATACACAATTATTATCCCTCTTATAGGTCTATAAAGATACTATTGAAAGTTGTACACTTTGGCTTGTAATGGTTCAAAGTCTCGGGTTTTGACCTGAAAAGATCCGGACTTGCCACATCTGGGGGTGGGGGAAAACAGTTCCTTTTTGACAAATCCTCATTTGTCATCTCGTAGCATCACTTCCCCACCTTTATCCCAGAGCTTTGTGATTGGTAATTTTTTAAAAAAATGCAAACAGCACAGTCTTTGACCCTGGGTTTGGAAAAAACATATTTTGTAATACCCATGATAAGAACAGACCTTTTGCATAATGCCAGATAAGAATCTGTCACTTCCAGAGGTTTATAAGCAGGTTAGGAACATGTCCAAAATTCTCCTCCAAAAGCAGTCAGTCAGATGTCTATAGGAAACTCATTAACAAGGAGATAATGGAAGAGCCCTCCTTTCTTGTTACCCTTGTTGCAATTGATCTGAACAAGAAGAACAGTGTCATTGCCGTTGAATAAAAACCCACATTTTTTGCTTTGAACTGGAATATATGACAGTGTGGACTAAAATAACCCAGTTCAAAGCAGATATTGTGGAATTTTCTGCCTTGATATTCCAGGTTATATGGCTGTCTGGAAGGGCTCTGAGTCCACACTCAGATAATGTGGGATTTTCTGCCTTGATATTCTAGGATATAGGGCTGTGTGGAAGGGCCCTAAGTTACTTTGGTATTTTAGCAAGGAAGGATAAGATACTAAGTTATACATAATGGTTAGAGTCTTGTTAGTACATATCGGTCTCACAACTGCCTCCTTTAAGCATCTTAACCCTAAGTTAGTAACATAACTTAGGTTTAAGTGTACACACAAATCTCTTCAGGAAATGGTGGTGGGATATAAATAAAGATTATTATTATTATTATTATTATTATTATTATTATTATTATTATTATTTGAAACACAACAAGATGAGTCCACAGCAGACACTCTGCTAGCTGTTGAATTGGATCACATGTCGGACACCTCCCAAGTGTCTAGGACTGTGTGATGTATCAGCGAATAATGCGTGCAGATCCCAGTAAGGTGGCCTTCTGCAGCTGACAGATGATAATTTTCTCAATGCCGATTGTGGTTAAGTGCCGGCCAAGGTCTTTAGGCACTGCACCCAGTGTGCCGATCACCACTGGGACCACCTTTACTGGTTTGTGCCAGAGCCTGTGCAGTTTGATTTTAAAATCATCATATCGTGTCAGCTTTTCCAGTTGTTTCTCTGCAATCCTGCTGTCACCTGGGATTGCGACATCAGCAATCCATACTTGGTCTTCTAACATGATTGTGAGGTCAGGAGTATTATGCTCCAAAACTCTGTCTGTCTGAATCCAGAAGTCCCAGAGAAGTTTGGCATGTTCATTTAATGTAACTTTTTCCGGCTTTTATGATTATGATTATGATTATTATTTGCTTAGGATGGAATGGAAGGTTGATAATCACAAGTCAATTGAACTCCATCCAAAACTTCCATCCCTAGGCAGATGTCAAGCCCTGTTGGGGGGCTGCAGTGGCTTTTCAATGGTCAAGGATGGACAGAAGGCAGGATGAAGCAAGATGATTTAGGACAGCATTTCCCAACCTGGGAGTTGGGAGCCCTGGAGGGGTTGCGAGGAGGTGTCAGAAGGATCACCAAAGACCATCAGAAAACACAGTATTTTCTGTTGTTCATGTGGTTTCTGTGTGGAAAGTTTCGCCCAATTCTATCATTGGCGGGGTTCAGAATGCTCTTTGATTGTAGGTGAACTATAAATCCCAGCAACTACAACTCCCAATTGACAAAATGTGGAAGGGCCCTCAAACTTACTTACTTACTTACTTACTTAGGCAATCCCTCATTGTCCAAGTAGGATAGTCTTCCAAGATCAGTGTGCTGGTGGGTCCGTAGGTGACCGTGGAGCCCTATTTTTGATCTGCATCTTCTCCTGCAGTAAGGGCATTGGTTTCCAGGAGGAAGGTGGTCTCTGTCATGGTTGGCCTTCCTCTTGGCACGTTTCTCTCTTTCTCCCTCCATTCGTGCCTCTCCAAATTCCACAGCACTGCTGGTCACAGCTGACCTCCAACTCTCAAAGCAGCTATTTAAGTGCCACATTAGCACTAAAGCTGCATGAAAACTGGACAAAGTTTACTATTTTTTCATGTTTTACATTGCTAAGAGCCTCTGTTCAAGAACTGACATTGTAGGACAATGGGCAGGGGTGTTTTTCTAGTATGTCCTAGAACAGACTGCAAACTTCTTGGTGTGTTTCAACCAGAAATTACCCTTAAAAGGGCCAATGCATGCAGGAAGCAGTGATAAGCCTTCAACTACAGAAAAGACAAGATATACAAAATTATCCTTGGCAAAATTACAGGATTAAGTTGGCCTAGCTGTGATGTGGTGGAAGATAAATGCCTGTCTGTGTATTAAGCTCTTGCAGGAGTTCCCCCAACCAGTACAAACATGTTGGTCAGAGTTACTCATTGCCTAATTCCTCATTCTACCCCCTCATTCCTCCAGGCTGCGAAGCACAGTGAAATCATTCTGTTCACAAGCTACAGCAGTCTTTCAGAGTCCCTTGAGCTCTTAAACAGAACAGTTGCATTGCAAAAGAAAGCATCCTGGGGAAGAAGAGCTGCCCTTGTTGGCTCCTGAGTTTCATCAAAGAAGGAAGGCAAAGAAGGCATCAAAGTCAAGACATCCAACTGTAGACAAAGGGTGAAGTTGAAGAGGGCTGTGGAAAACTCAGAAAAGAGGAAAGACCAAGCAAGAAGAGCAAACCTGCACCATGAGTCATCCAAAGTATACGCGTATGGAAGATGATACTTCTGATGTTCTGAATCCACCTCCATACTCTAATGCTTCTGATGGGCCTATGCCACCCCAGTATCAGCCTTATTATAATCCACCTGGTGCAAGAATCAACAGTGAACCAGTCTTTCAGTCTTCTCAGACCATTGTCACCCATGGTCAGACCATCTCTGAACCTGATTACATGGCTTACTCCATCTTCACTATTCTTTGCTGTTGTCTTCCTCTAGGGATTGCTGCCTTGGTCTACTCTGTAAAGGTAAGTGTGTGCACGCGCCTTATGTTCTAGCACCCCTCGCTTCACATACTTTAACATTCAAAATATGATTTCTCAGAGCATGCTAGGGACTCATTTCAGTAAAAGAGTAGAATATTAAGGTAAGTGATGTTGTATATCCTAGGACGGGGTCCTCCAACTTTTTAAACAGAGGGCCAGGTCACAGTCCCTCAAACTGTTAGAGGGCCGGATTATAATTTGAAAAAAGCATGAATGAATTCCTATGCACACTGCACATATCTTATTTGTAGTGCAAAAAAACATTAAAACAATACAATAATTAAAATGAAGAACAATTTTAACAAATATAAACATATTAGTATTTCAATGGGAAGTGTGGGCCTGCTTTTAGCTGATGAGATAGGATTGTTGTTGTTGTTGTTGTTGTGTGCTTTCAAATCGTTTCAGACTTAGGTTGACCCTGTGTGAGGGCCGGTAAATGACCTTGAAGGGCCGTATCCTGCCCTCGGGCCTTAGTTTGAGGACCCCTGTTCTAGGACATTTATATAAATAAAAATGTAATGTTAGTTTGTGGGATTAACATAACTCAAAAACCACTGGACGAATTGACACCAAATTTGGACACAATACACCTATCAGGCCAATGGGTGACCATCACTCATAAAAACATAGAAAAACACAGTGGAAGGGACTTAAAAAGCCAAAATAGCAAAAAGATGCTACAGAGCATGTACAAAAATGATTCCCCTGGCAAACAAAACACACAATAGCATATCCACACTTGCTTCCGGACTACAGCTCCCAGCATCCCCTAGACCAGGCACTGCTTCCAAGATGCAAGCTTTCTTCTCCTTGGATTTCTTTGAGAGCATCCCAATCCCTGCATATTTCTAATTTCCTATTCCTGGACTGCAACTCCCAGCAATCCTTCACATAGATAGATTAGATAGAGATAGGTAGTAGGTAGATAGATCGATAAGGAGGACTGCTGGGAGTTGCAGCCCAAGAATATGTAGAGAAGGAAGAATGGGGAGAGAGAAAGGGGAAAGAAAAGGGAGAGAAGGAGGGGAAGAGGAAGGGAAGGAAGGAGAGAAGGAAAGAAAAAAGGGAAAGAAGAGAGGGGGGAATTCTGAGGGAGGGAAGGTTGGCCACAGCAATGCGTGGCAGATACAGCTAGTAGGAAATAAATTGTTATTGTGCTGAAATTTCTTACGATACTTTTTTCTGGGTGTTTCTGAGGGTTTTTTCTGGTTTTGGCTCAATTCCCAGCCTCCCCACTTGAAATAGAAACCCACTTTTCAGAAATATTTTCAGAATATTTCTCAGATGGTGGAGTCCTCCGCCTTCCTGCACACACAAACACAATGCACTGAAACAAAATTCAGTACTGGGTAGACATCACAAAAAAAAAAAACTAAAATGGCCACTAAGCTGCCGACACAGTTTCTGTATTTGACACATGTGATCTGTGACTTTCTCAATCTTGGTCAGCCTTCGATAGAATGTGTTTTTATGGTTTCACATGCACTCGTGCTCTCTGATGCAAGGCATTCGTTGTGGGATTGCTGGTGTTTATTACATTTCACAAAAGGGGTTCATGACTTTTAGGCAGTGTAACAAAAGATAGTAAAGTGAAATATGGGTTTGAGTTCTGTTAGTGTTTTAGTTAGGTAAACCTTTTCCCCTGACATTAAGGGGAAATGTGTCTGACTCTGGGGGTTGGTGCTCATCTCCATTTCTAAGCCAAAGAGCTGGTGTTGTCCGTAGACACCTCCAAGGTCATGTGGCTGGCATGACTGCATGGAGTGCTGTTACTTTCCTGCCAGAGGAGTACCTATTGATCTACTCACATTTGCATGTTTTTGAACTGCTAGGTTGGCAGAAGCTGGGGTTTACAGCGGGAACACACTCCAGTTTTGAACTGATGACCTTTTGGTCAACAAGTTCAGCAGCTCAGTGGTCCAACCCACTGTGCCACCGAGGGTTCCGGTGTTTTATAGGTTTGTGATTTCCCTTATATAAAAAACTTTGTACTGTTTGGGCCATTGTCTGACTAATGAATTGAGCTAATGGTTATATTATTATTATTTGAAACACAACAAGATGAGTCCACAGCAGACACTGTGCTGGCTGTTGAATTGGATCACACGTTGGACACTTCCCAAATGTCTAGGACTGTGTGATGTATCAGCAAATAATGCATGCAGATCCCAGTAAGGTGGCCTTCTGCAGCTGGCAGATGGTAATTTTGTCAGCGCCGATTGTGTTTAAGTGCAGGCCAAGGTCTTTAGGCACTGCACCCAGTGTGCCGATCACCACTGGTTTGTGCCAGAGTCTTTGCAGTTCGATTTTTAAATCCTCATATCATGTCAGCTTTTCCAGTTGTTTCTCTGCAATCCTGTTTATTATTATTATTATTATTATTATTATTATTATTATTAGATACACAACAAGATTAGTTCACAGCAAACAAGATCACTATGCTGGCTTTTGTATTCCATCACACATCAGACACTTCCCAAATGTCTTGGACTCTGTGATGTCTTGGTGAATAATGCATGCAGATCTGAATAGGGTGACCATTTGAAGCTGACAGATGGTAATTTTGTCAGTGCTGATTGTTTTTAAGTGCAGGTCAAGGTCTTTAGGAACTGTACCCAATGAGCTGATCACCACTGGGATCACCTTTACTGGCTTGTGCCAGAGTCTTTGCAGTTCAATCTGTAAATCCTCATATATTTTATTATTATTATTATCCTCCTATTATTATTATTATTATTATTACTATTACTATTATTATTACTATTATTATTTATGCCCCACCTTTCTCCCTATGGGAACTCAAGGTAGCTAACAATCCACACTAGACATGTTTAAAAAGTGCAGTACAAAAGTTAAAAGACAATTAAATAGTAACAGTGTGACAATAAATAATAACAGTGTGAACACTGAATAAAGTGAATTCACTTACATTTTGACTCACCATTCAACAAGTGATTCAATGAGCCTATTCTAGTTGGGACTGCAACTCTGTTCACTCACATTACAGAAACACTGGAAAATAGTCAGTTCCACAATGATGGAGACAGGTTGAGTACCCCTTGTTCAATCTCTTTTTTACCTGTATGTGTATGGATTACTTGTCTTTCCATACACATGATGAATGAGGGATATAGGGGAAAGGGAGCTAGTCACACATCTAGCAGAAGATGAGTTTTTCCTCAAGGAGCTCTTGCTCTACCACTACCAGAAATTTGATGGGAGGAAGACAAAAAGAGGGATGGAGCCTGCCTATAGAAGGGCCCTGTGAAAATCTGACATGCCAGATGCTTCCCTTGCTAGTATAAAAGAGGGAGGGAATGAAAGACAGAAGAGAAGGGAGGGAGGGAGGTGAAAGGGGGAGAGAGGGAGGAAAGAGGGAAGGAAGGAAGAATGAAAGGGTGTCATCAGCACCAACTGCTGCTCTGGGACCAGAGTGGAGAGAGAACGCCAGGGAAGACAGTCCCACCATGTCTTCTGTGCTGTACTAATCTGTATTATGTTAATAATATAACGTAATGTAATATATTGAATATACATATAATATTTATAATATTATAATGTAATACTATATAATACTACTAATAATATGATACTATCATTATATTTTTATATTACATGTAATATTACTAATAATATTACAATATAATGGTATAGGACAATATAGTAATATATAATACTTATATTGTACTATGCTAACAATATAATATATTGTATTTTACATATTACTTGTAAGCTGCTCTGGGTCCCCTTTGGGGTGAGAAGGGCGGCATATAATGTCATAAATAAATAAATAATAATATAAGATGGGGATAGCCAAAGCCACCAAGGAGATTCTAGCAGGGGGGGGAGAAGGAGTTGGGAGAGAGGCACAACGAGGAGGATGACAGGCGTGGCAGGTACACACGGCCGTGGAGGACGCGACGACCGAAGGACCGATCCGCAACGGCGGGCCGCTGGTAGCTGGAGGCATGTACGCGAGATATCGAGCACCAGAACTCACTCCCCAAGGACATCAGGCATGCCCCAACTTTGGCAGTCTTTAGGAGGAGCTTGAAAACATGGTTATTCCAGTGCGCCTTCCCAGAATAATGAACCCTCAGAATTATGTCCTCTAAATGCACTTTACACTGATTTAGGATTGGTTGTATGCTTTCACCAACGCCACATCTCTCCTACCTTGTTCATGCCTAGCATTATTTTTAAATTTTTAATTGCATTTGGCCCAGCCATAGATTTTAAAATGTGTGTTGTATTACTGTTATTGTCATTGCTTTTTTGTTTATGAGTTTTATTTTAATTGTTTATTGTTGTGTTATTGCTTTAATTTAAGTATTGTGGGCTCGGCCTCATGTAAGCCGCACCGAGTCCCTTGGGGAGATGGTAGCGGAGTACAAATAAAGTATTATTATTATTATTATTATTATTTTGTTTTCTTTATATTCTACCCGCTTTACTGCATCCTTGGGATTCAGTGAAGTAACTGATCTTAGCAAGCACAGATAAGCATTCACATGGAAAAGTTAAGAGATAAGAAAGCCATAAATGGAAGTAAAAGCAATCTTAAAACAAACCTCTTTTAAAAAACCAATGCAGAATATTATTAAAAGCCTTTCTTCATGAACATTTTTGTAAAACAGGAAGTGATACGGTTTACGTTCAGTATTGTCCCAGACCCTTGGTTCTTGAGACCAAAGTCTAGCACACAGGGGGCTTCCCTGGAGATATGCATCAATGAGCAACCAGAGTTTCTCACAGCTTGCCATTCAAGCTCACACAGAAAAAGAAGATAATTTCCTGTTTGAACATCAAGGCAGAAATCTTAGCTAAAGGGCTGTTTCCAGGTCAAGGTGAAATGTGGAGCTATTCCTTCTTAACTATATAAGACAATGAGGCAATTAATGTAACTTCCCAAATGTTAGCTCTAAGAATATTTGCTCCAAGGTGAACCCTTTGACTTTCAAAACTGGCTTCAAAACAATATCAGAGAAGCATTTTTTTTCCTGTTGAAATTGTTTAGCACAGTAGTTCTCAACCTTCTTAATGCCACGACCCCTTAATACTGTTCCTCATGTTGTGGTGACTGCCAATTAGAAAATAATTTTCATTGCTACTTCATAACTGTAATTTTGCTAGGAAGGAAGTGTTCTATTATGTATCGTGTATGTTTGTATTTCTTTTTTCTTTGTACTTACTTTTACTTTTATTATGTATATGTTTAAAACTCAATAAACAGCATTTATTAAAAAATAACTGTAATTTTGCTATTATTATGAATCATAATGTAAATATCTGATATGCAGGATGTATTTTCAACCTTCCTAATGCCACAGCCCCTTAATACAGTTCCTCATGTTGTGGTGACCCCCAAATACATATAAAATAAAATAAAACTATGTATAAAATAATTTTCATTGCTACTTCATAACCGTAATTTTGCTACTGTTATGAATCAGAATGTAAATATCTGATATGCAGGATGTATTTTCCTTCACAGGATCAAATTTGGCACAAATACTCAATATGCCCAAATTTGAATACTGGTGGGGTTGGGAGGTGTTGATTATGTCATTTAGGAGTTATAGTTGCTGGAATTTATAGTTCACCTACAATCAGAGAGCATTCTGAACTCCACTAATGATTGAATTGAACCAAACTTGGCACACAGAACTCCCATGACCAACAGAAAATACTGGAAGAATTTGGTGGGCATTGACCTTGAGTTTGGGAGTGGTAGTTCACCTACATCCAGAAAGCACTGTGGACTCATCAGTGATGGATCTGGACCAAACTTGGCACAAATGTTCAATGTGCCCAAAAGTGAACACTGTTGGAGTTTGGGGGAAATAGACCCTGACATTTGGGAGTTGTAGTTGCTGGGATTTATAGTTCACCTACAATCAAAGAGCATTCTGAACTCCACCAATGATAGAATTGGGCCTAACTTCCTACGCAGAACCCCATGACCAAAAGAAAATACTGTGTTTTCTGATGGACTTTGGCAAACTCTGATCACACAAGGAAGTTGGTCAAAGTACACCAAAGGTATGTCACTATGGTCAACTTCCACTAAAACATTGACAATAGAATTGCACTGGAGGACCTAACAATGCCTAGAGAAGTGTTCTCTCTAGGAATCTCTAGGTCCTCCATCATAACTCTAGCATATTTTGACCATAGAGTCACCCTGGAGGACCTAGAGATTCCTAGAGATAATATATTAATCACAATCCCAAATAATCAAATCTGCAAATGTGAACCTGCAAATTTGGAGAGCCAGCTGACATCCAAATACACAGCTTGAGGGCTAGACTGTACACTATGACAAGCATGAATCTAAGTATCCTTTTAAAAATTCTAAAGTAAGAACATATAACTCTGAACCAGACAAGTACAAGGTTGCATGGTGGATTAATGATTATTTATTTATTTATTTTATATATTTACATTCCGCCCTTCTCACCCCACAGGGGACTCAGGGCGGATTACAGTGCATATATACATGGCAAACATTAAATGCCATACACACACAACATATATAAACAAGCAGAGAGGCAATTTAAGCTTCATGAGGGTATGCTCAAATTCCGGCCACCAGGGGAGCTGTTGCTTTACAATCCACTTGTGACATCGAGTTCTTGATGGAGTACTTCCTCATTCTTTCACCCCCTGCTGGAGATTTTTATGGCATCCTAAATTAGTTACATTAGCCTCCCTGCATAAGTGGTACCTAAATTTCCTACTTGACAGACGCAACTGTCTTTCGGGCTGCAAAGGTTGACAGCAAACTAGACAAATGGTTGGGAGCTTACTCCGACCCGGGCTGGTTTCGAACTCATGAGCTTTCAGTCAATGGTGATTGAATGCAGCTGACTCCTAGCCAACTACGCCACAGCCCCTTGGACTTTTCTCCCCTGATCTATTCCTTGAAAGCAAGTCCCATAGCCTGGGGATTTCTAGAAGCTTAAGGCGAAGGTTTCAGTTTAGGCCAATGGGTTTGCTGGTAGCAAATGTCATACAGCCGAGTCAATAGGATTTATTGTGCATCGTTGTGTATCTCTCCCAGCCAGAGATGTTATTCAGCTTTCCCATTCCCCAGGTCTCCTAATCTACTACCTATCTTGTTTTTTATCTCCCCAGACTCAAGAAGCCAATCGTGTTGGAAACAAGATATCTGCTCAGAAGAATTCAAGGCTGGCACGCAACCTGGCTCACACTGCATTAGGGATTGGCCTTACATTTCTGATTGTGTACATCATTCTTTTTGTGATCAATTCTACCAAGATAAGAAACTGAGCCACCAACAGTCCCAAGATCATTCCAAACCAGATAGGAACCTGAACCTCCAACCCCACCATAAAACCCTCCATCTAAAATACCCTACCTTCCATCCCAGGAACATCAGTGATATACAAGACAGAGAAGCCAAGGTTTGGGATTATGCTCTCTGAACCATTATCCACAGAAAGAAACTTGCTATGAGCTGCTACATACGTCCACATGACTTTCGTACACTTGACTTGATGACCAAATACAAAATTGGCAATGTGTGAATGGCAGCTGGTCCAGCATCAAATGCAACCTTCAGATGGCATGAAACACCGACCTTCTGAAAGATGGACTGCCCCCATCCAATGATGACCGTATATGATTCACCTTCAAAATGGAACACAGATAGCACAAACCAAAACCAGAAAATCAGGAGGAGGCTCCAAAGATCACATGTAAAACATTGCCTTGTTTAGTAAAGGGACAGTCCTCATGTTCATGGCTGCATTATTTGCCAGAGATAAAAGCAGTAAAACTTGTTGGTTGTTCCAACCAAAGAAAAATCGTTAAATCAAGAATGGTGTGTCAACATACCATGATTGAAATAAATCAACATTTGATCCATTCCTTTCAATCACTGAAAAGAGAGATCACCTACCCAGTGTAACCATCCCTTCTGCCCAGTTCCAAATTCTTCCTCTAGTTTGCACTAATTTTACAGGCTTCCTCTGAATTGCTCTATTTTCCAGCCTTGCTGCTTAGGTTCCATCTTTATTTGGTTCTCTTTTCTCTGTCTGATGCATTATCTCAATTGGTAATAGTTTGGATTGCTTGTTTTAAATGCCATATTTTTTCACCTTGTGGTGAAAAAATATAACAGGGGGAAATATAATTACTCTACTGTCAGCAACCAAGAGTTTAAATGACAAAATTCTCCATTTTGACTAATAACAGATGAGCTAGTCATTGACCGTAATAAAGTGAACTTGAACTTGAACTTGACTAATAACAAGACACCTGTGTATCCGAAGTCACCTATATACATAGGTACAAAAGCACAACATATAGACCAACAGCAGGTACCTACTCAGGGACTTTACTTCCAGGGACCAAAGAGAGATGGCTAGAGGACAAGAAATGCAGCAACAGTCTAGTAGTACATTTTGAAGAACAGGAACTTACCTGGCACACCTCAAGCCATGGCTGTCTATAATGCAAACATCTATGTAAATTCAAAGTGGACCCAAATGTTTTATTTATTTAAGATATTTGTAAACTGCCTTTCCCTGCAAGTGGATCCAAAGTGGCATACAATGTGTTAACACACAATCCAAACATTAAAATATAGATACAAAGGTAAAAACATGTTAAAAGCATATATTCAATAAAATCAATTACCGCCTCCCCTGAATAAGCCCCCTATATACAGGCATTAAACTCCATCCTATCCTCCAGTGACTCAGTTAAAGGCCTTCTTAAATAGAAATGTCTTGATCCCTTTTCCGGAAGCTTAATAGGGACAGGGCAGCTCTTAATTCTTCTTGGAGGGAATTCCAAGTTCTGATGCTGCTCCTGAGATGGAGGCTTCTCTGGTCTTATGCAAGTACATGTTGGAAAGGGCTCAAGTAGTAATGAGGATCCCTCCGCTAGATCTCAGCACTCGACCTGGAGTGTATAGGGGAGCGTGGAGATCCAGGTAGGCTGGACCGAATACAACCTTGGATATCTAGACAATGTCCAGGGATTTCCAATACTTAACAAGGGGATAAACCATGCCAAGCAGGTTTAAACCTGCATTAAGCAAAGTTTGGGAATGCTCTGGAATCTACCTAAAACTCCAGCGCAGCCCCACCTTTATATTGAGTGCGGACAGCACACCAGCTCCAAAGTGAACCAGTCGGCTGTCCACAAGGCCAGTGCTGCCATCCACTTTTCCCGGTCTTGGTAGCAAGGTCCCCACTGCAGCTCTCCTGCCAGCTGCTGCAGCTACAGAGGCAACAGGACAGTTAACAGTTGAGCTGGACCAATTAAATCATCTGGATTTATTCCTGCTATCTCTGTTAGTAGGAAAGGAGTGTCTGAACAGTTCCATGGGGCAATCTGGTACATTTCTGCTCCAGACTGGCCTCAGATTTTTGTATCTGTAGATGAGTCCTGAGAATCCTGCCTCCACTATACACATGAACCCTAGCAATTCATAGAAGAGTAAGTGGTAAAGTACTTCTAAATGGTAAAAATAAAGATAATAATAATACTTATATTCTGCCCTGTCTCCCCAAGGGGACTCAGAACTGATTACAGCATATATACAAACACAAACACAGGCAAATATTCAATGCCTTGATACAATGAACAGAAATTCACAGACAGTGAACAGAAATTCACAGACAAAGGCAAAAGGTTCCCCTTTCATTTCTGGCTTCTGGAGGCAGTGCTCAACTTCAGCTCCGGGGAGGTATTCATCTCCCATTTCCAAGCTGAGAAGCCTGTGTTGTCCATAGAGCCCTCCTTGTTAAGCGGCCAGAATAACTGCTTGGAGTGCCTTCCCACCAAGGCGATACCTATTGATCTACTCACATTTGCATGTTTTCTACCTGATACGTAGGCAAGAGCTGGGGCTAACCGTGGGAGCTCATTTCATCCTGTAGATTTGTACTGCCAACCTTCAGGTCAGCAAGTTCAGCAGCTCAACGGTTTAACCCGTTGCACCACCCAGAGCCCCTTGTTTTAACAGGAACAAAATTTCAGCATTTCTTCTTGGTGAGAGTTTAAGGGTGTCTGCTGGCTTCTTGGACATGTAAATTCTTCTCTCCTGGGTAATCAGAACACTTTATTTAGCCAATGTACCCTTCCAACCCTCATGAATCACTGGGCCGGTTCGGTACATCCCCACTAGCAATTGCACCTCCATCACAAAAAGCTTCAGTAGAACTGATTGATTTGAATGGTGGCCACGTTTACTCGTAGAAGCCACTTCTGAATTGCTTATTGTGTGCCTTCAACTCTAGAGCAAGCCAATCACAATAAAATTCATTCAGATTTATGCATAGATTAGCTACCCAAATAGAAACTATAAGAAAAGTGGAGGATGGTGAAAGAAAAATATATCATTCCTAGTTGCATTTTGGAAGAAACAATGTAGTGCCTATTTATAGCACTATTTATGCCCGGATATTAAAATGGGGTATCATTCACAGTTTTTCACTTTCATAGAGGTCCTGACACCCAAATCCAATCAATGTGGAGAGCTGACTGTATTTTTACTGTTTTGCCAAATCAACTATTTATCAAAGCCTACTGCTCAGCACATCCCCACTAGCAACTGCACCTCAATCGCAAAAACCTTTAGTAGAATTGATTCATATGAATTGTGACCATGTTTTTAGAAGCCTGCCAAAAGATGGGGACATTTCTGAAATGCTTGTTGTGTGCCTTCAACTCTAGGATTTCAGCTCCCAGAAATTCCAGCCAGTTTACCAGCTGTTAAGAATTGTGGGAGCTGAAGTCCAAAATATCTGGAGGACACCATTTGAGAAACTCTGATCTACATGTTGCTTCATTCCTTTTGGCCATATTTGTGGGAAAAGCAGTTGAACAGGGAATGTGAAAAATGAGGCGGAGCAGCAAAGTCAGAAAGTTCTGGAGAGACTCAGCACTCTACAGTTCCCAGGAACTGCACATTCTGGCAAGACCAAGCCAGGCTTTCACTTCCCTGCTAGGTCGAAGCACGCTGCCAAATGCTATGGCTGGCAGCAGTGTGGCACTTTCTGTTTGGGCCAAGCAGACACACCACTCTTATTTGGTTCTGGGAAGACGCCCATCTTCATTTCCCCATCCTGTAGTGCAATGAAGACCTGTCAGCAGTGGCACCATAAGGAAACAAATTGGGGGCACTACACAAAGTGCCCACTCAAGCCTGGCACAAGCTCTGCCTCTGTAGGTGGAAATCGGTAGAAAACCTTGAAAAAAAATGATAAAAAAGAGATAGAGTGCTAATGTAGAAGAGCTTCCATCCATTGCATAATTTGGAATATATTGACATGGACTCCAATGAAGAGTTTATAAATAGATCCAGAAAAGGCACACATTGATCACGCAAAACACTTTTATCCAGGCCATTATAGTGGTAATCCTGCCACATCTTTGAAACCAAGTATTCTTCAAGAGTCTATAGTATTGGAGGGTTTCGCCTCATTTTTCCATATGGTAAAAGTTTTCAGAACTGCAGTGGCAGCACCACCATAGATAACATTTGTAATTCTGCCCATAAGGAGGCATAGTAAACCATCTTCTGAACACTGTACATCAGCGTTTCTCAACCTGGGGGAGTTGTGAAGGGGGTGTCAGAGGAGTTGACAAAGACCATCAGAAAACACAGTATTTTCTGTTGGTTATGGGGGTTATGTGTGGGAAGTTTGGTGGGGTTCCGAATACTCTTTGGTTTTAGGTAAACGATAAATCCCAGCAAATACAACTCCCAAATGTCAAGGTTTATTTTCCTCAAACTCCACCAGTCTTCCCATATGGGCATATTGAGTATTTATACCATGTTTGGTCCTGATCCATCATAGTTTGAGTCCACAATGCTCTTTGGATGTAGGTGAACTACAACTCCAAAACTCAAGGTCAATGCCCATCAAACCCTTCCAGTATTTTCTCTTGGTCATGGGAGTTCTGTGTGCCAAATTTGGTTCAATTCTATTGTTGGTGGAGTTCAGAATGCTCTCTGATTGTAGGTTAACTATACCTCCCTGCAACTACAACTCCCAAATGACAACTCTCCTCCAAACCCACCAATATTCAAATTTGGGCGTATCCGGTATTTGTGCCAAATTTGGTCTAGTGAAGGAAAATACATCCTGCATATCAGACATTTACATTTCGATCCATAACAGTAGCAAGATTGCAGTTAGGAAGTAGCAACAAAATAATTTTATGGTTGGGGGTCACCACATCATGAAGAACTATATTAAGGGGTCGCAGCATTAGGAAGGCTGAGAAACACTGAGCTAGACAATTGCTGCCAGTCTATGGAGACAATGAATACTGTAGTGGTCTGACTCATTCCAAAATAAGCTTTTCTGTATTCAGAGCACATTTATGCAATCTGCCACTGTGCTATGGCCTGCAGAGGACCACATTACATGACCAAGTTCAAATGAAAAGACAGTGGAAATAAATACCAGAGTTGAATGAAAACTAATGCCTCCACCTTCATTACTTGGTTTTGGATGGAAATATTTTAATAAATCAAATGCAGAGATAATCCCTAGAATGTGCTCTTTAACTACCACTATTCACTTTTCCACATAATCACCAGACAATTGGATACATTATTGGATACAATTGGTTCATCCAGGACTTAATCCTGGATGAACGGGCAGATCTGGCGTGCATCACAGAGACCTGGCTGGACGAAGCGGGAGGTGTAAATTTGACCCAGCTTTGCCCGCCAGGTTTCTCTGTGCAGCACCAACCGAGATCCGGAGGGCGGGGAGGCGGAGTTGCAGTGGTCTATAGAGATTCCATTCTTCTGACCAGGGCCCCCATCCCGCAGTCAACAAATTTTGAATGCGTCCACCTGAGGGTGGGTGACCGGGACAGATTAGGGATTCTGTTAGTGTACCGCCCACCTCGCTGCACTACAGTCTCCCTGACTGAGCTAGCGAGGGTGGTCTCGGACCTGGCATTGGAGTCCCAGGGGCTGCTTGTGCTGGGGGACTTCAATGTCCACGCCGAGACCGCCTTATCGGGAGCGGCTCAGGACTTCATGTCTGCCATGGCAACCATGGGGCTGTCCCAACAGGTATCTGGCCCCACCCACAGTGCTGGACACACATTGGACTTGGTTTTCTGCCAGGGATGGGAGAAAGGTGGCGGTGTGAGGAGTTGTCCATCTCTCCGTTGCCATGGACCGACCACCACCTGGTCAGCTTTAGACTCACTGCACCCCCTAACCTCTGCAGAGGTGGAGGACCCATTAAGTTGGTCCGCCCCAGGAGGCTTATGGATCCGGATGGATTCCTGACGGCTCTTGGGGAATTTCCCGCCTCCTCGGTTGGTGATCCTGTCGATGCCCTGGTCGCTCTCTGGAATGGGGAGATGGCTAGGGCAATAGACACGATCGCTCCAGAACGTCCCCTCTCAAGTAGCCGAGCTAAACCAGCTCCTTGGTTCACTGAGGAGCTGGCAGCGTTGAAGCGAAAGAAGAGGGAACTAGAGAGCGTGTGGCGTTCGGATCCGAGCGAGCCAAATCGAACACGGTTTGTGTCCTTTTTAAGGGCATATGCCGCGGCAATAAAAGCCGCAAAGAAGACTTTCTTTGCGGCCACTATTGCGTCTGCAAAGAACCGTCCGGCTGAACTGTTCCGAGTTGTCAGAGGCCTTTTAAAACCCACCATCAGGATGGGTGCCCTGATGACTCGGCAGTTCGCTGTGAAGCCTTTGCTCAGTTCTTTGCAGACAAAGTCGCTTTGATCCGCTCTGGTCTGGATACCATATTAACGGCAGTCTCTGAGGATGTAACACGAGCATCTGCTTGTCCGGTTTTGATGGATTCATTTCAATTGGTTCAATCCGAGGATGTGGACAAGGTGCTTGGAGGAATGAGAGCTACCACATGCATCCTAGACCCCTGCCCATCCTGGCTTCTGAAGGAGGCCAGAGGGGGATTGGCCGAGTGGGTGAAGGTGGTGGTTAATGCCTCCCTTCGGGAAGGCAAAATTCCAGCCAGCTTAAAGCAAGCTGTAATAAAACCGCTGTTGAAAAAACCATCACTGGACCCCACTCAATTCGTCAACTTTCGGCCTGTTTCCAATCTCCCCTTTTTGGGCAAAGTCCTGGAACGTGTGGTGGCCTCACAACTCCAGGCATTCTTGGTAGACACGGATTATCTGGATCCGGCACAGTCTGGCTTTAGGCCGGGGCATGGTACGGAGACAGCCTTGGTCGCCTTAGTGGATGATCTGCGTCGGGAGCTCGACAGGGGGAGTGTGTCCCTGTTGGTGCTGCTGGACCTCTCAGCGGCCTTCGATACCGTCGACCACGGTATCCTTCTGGGACGCCTTACAGGAATGGGCCTTGGAGGGACTGTTTTACAGTGGCTCCGCTCATTCCTTGAGGGTCGGTCTCAGAAGGTGTTATGGGAGACTCCTGTTCAACCCCACAACCTTTGTCTTGTGGGGTTCCTCAAGGTTCAATACTGTCTCCCATGTTGTTTAACATCTACATGAAGCCGCTGGGCGAGATCATCCGGAGTTTCGGGGTGCGGTGTCATCTGTACGCAGATGATGTCCAACTCTGTCACTCCTTTCCACCTGCTACTAAGGAGGCTGTCGAGGTCCTGAACCGGTGCTGGCCGCTGTGACGGTCTGGATGAGGGGCGAACAAATTGAAATTGAATCCAGACAAGACAGAGGTACTCCTGGTCAGTCGTAAGGCCGAACAGGGCATAGGGTTACAGCCTGTGTTGGATGGGGTCGCACTCCCCCTGAAGACGCAGGTTCGCAGTTTGGGTGTGATCCTGGACTCATCGCTGAGCCTGGAAGCCCAGGTCTCGGCGGTGACCAAGGGAGCATTCACACAGTTAAAACTCGTGTGCCAACTGCAACCGTACCTTGGGAAGTCTGACTTGGCCACGGTAGTCCATGCTCTGGTTACATCCCGTTTAGACTACTGCAACGCTCTCTACGTGGGGTTGCCTTTGAAGACGGCCCGGAAGCTCCAATTAGTCCAACGCTCGGCAGCCATGATACTAACAGGAGCGGAGCGCAGGGAGCATACAACTCCTCTGCTGCACCAGCTCCACTGGCTGCCGATCTGCTACCGGGCTCAATTCAAAGTGCTGGCGTTGGCCTTTAAAGCCCTAAACGGTTCTGGCCCAACCTACCTATCCGAACGTATCTCGGCCTATCAGCCCACCAGGACCCTAAGATCTTCTGGGGAGGCCCTGCTCTCTATCCCGCCTGCTTCACAGGTGCGGCTGGCGGGGACGAGAGACAGGGCCTTTTCTGTGGTGGCCCCGCGGCTATGGAACGCCCTTCCCATGGAGGTAAGATCAGCTCCCTCATTGATGGTATTCCGGAAAAGACTAAAAACCTGGATGTTCGAGCAGGCGTTCGGTTAACTCAGTGCAATAAGTGTAATGATTGAAGGACTGGCAATTTGGACGACGAAACTGGATCGCGATTTTAGTCAAGAGATGAATTGGATTGTTTATTGATATATGTATTGTGGATTGTGTTTTTATGCTTTTAAACTGTATACTGTTGTTTGTTATAAGTTGTTGTAAACCGCGTTGAGTCGCCGGCTAGGCTGAGAAACGGCGGTATACAAGTATAGCAAATAAATAAATAAATAAATAAATACATTTCTGCCAACGATGAACAAGTTTTCTGAAACTGTCACAGAAGAAGTCAACACTATTTCTGCACAGATCTTCTGATAGCCAAGCAAAGCAATAATGTGACCCACATGTTCTTGTGAAATGCTGATTATGCTTGAAATTTCTCTCTGAGTGATACGACAATCAATCTGTCAACATTTTACTAGTGAAACTTGGTGGTTGCTGTCACAGGATGTCCAACTCTTTTTTGTCATGCAAGTCAGATTTTCCCTCCTCAACATCTTTAAATTTACTCGCCCAACAACACACAGTACTCACATCAACACAATCACCATAAACAGCTGATGAATCTCTAAAAATCACTATAAACAGCTGATGAATTCTAAAAATTTGGGAAAAATATAAAAAGAAATTATACAGTAAAACACCATTCTGGTTATCGCCATTAGAAGCGGGACAGAAAAGTTACATGGGATGGACTGTATGGCCAGTCTATAGGGATATATTGAAAAAAGAGCAAGGAGAGTTAATACTAAAATCACAACATGAACTAAACACTATAGATCAAAAAATTTCTTGGCTACAATATTGGCAAATAAAAGAGAAATATAAATTAGATAAAAAAAATTATGATTCACACAAGAAAAAAAATTTGGGATAAAATTATGGAAACGGAAAATAAATTAATAACAAAGATATATAAAAAATTATTAGAATGAACTATGGAAGCCAAAGAAGATAAAAACTATATGAAAAGATGGAACAAGAATATCGGGAGAAACATTAAAAAAGAAGAATGGGAGAAAATTTGGAAAAAGAGAATAAAATATATGTATGCAACGGATCTGAGAGAAAATTGGGTTAAAATATCACAAAGATGGTATATGACAGCGAAAAAATTGGGGAAAAATTACAATAATACATGTACAACATGCTGGAAATGTAAAGTAAAATAAGGCTCCTATTATTTATTTATTTATTTATTTATTTACTGCATTTGTTGACCGCCGTTCTCAGCCCTAGGGCGACTCACGGCGGTTTACAGCATATAAAAACAGTTTACAACAAGGGCATATCAAAACAACAATATAAACATAACAATCAACAATACAGATTACACTAAATCATCTGCGCCGTCTCATCTGTGGTGGTGGACATGTGACAAAGCAAAAGAATACTGGAGGAAAATACAGAAGGAGATCCAAAATATGTTAAAAATACAATTGCCATGGGAAGCAGAAATATTCCTATTAGGCATGTATGACAAAAAGGTAGATGAAAATACAGACAGAATATTATTCTTAATATTAACAGCAGCAGGGATATGCTTCGCAAGAAAATGGAAGCAAGATGAGATTCCACAAGAAGACGAATGGTTAACAAAGATCTTAGAAATTAGAAATATGGATAGACTCGCCTTCCTATTATTGAAGAACAAAGAGACTGGAAGAAAAGAAACAGAATGGAAAGAAATTATTGAATACTTGAGAGAAAAGAAAAAAGATGGTGATCTGAAACTATATAATAAGAGAGTAAAAGAAACGCAAAGAGAGAAAGGAAAGAGTGATGAAAGAAAGATAAGAAGTGAAGACACAAGATAAGAAGACCATATAGAAGACTTCGGAAAGATACCAGGGGGTCAAGATCTTTCACAATTTTATTATTATTATTATTATTATTATTATTATTATTATTATTATTATTATTATTTCTTTCTTCTTGCTTCTGATTCTCTTTCTTTTTCACTACTTTCATCTATAATTTTTTCCTCTCTTTTTCTTATTTTTCACTTACTTTGATGATTTTATAAAACCCGTACTGATTTTAAGAAAAAATTAATAAAGAACTATATCGCTGTATGTTTTCAAAAAAAAAAACAGCTGATGAATCTCCATTGGGGTGACACCTTCTGCTGAGTCCAAGTCACATTGACCAACCGTCTGCACAGGGTTCCATACTTTAAAATCACAGCCATTCAATGCTAAGGCTTCCCACCAAAACAGAACTGTAGAGGAGAGTCTACTGAACAAGCCAGTACCGCATATCAATACTGCCATATGTTGAGGAGTTACGAAGGTGGAGGCATTACATTTCATTCAACCCTTGTATATGAAAGGATACTAGATTTATTCCAGAAAGAACCACATAAAGATGAAACTCCAATTTTAGAAAGTGATATTGAAGCAGCAAGTTATGCTGGGTCTGGGAACTCATCTATCCCTGCAGGAAATGAAATCCTTACTGGAATTCTCAGTCCATTTATAAATCTGTCCACAAAAGCTCATGCAAAAATAAAAACCTATTTAATCTTAAAGGTGCTCCTACACTCTTTTTATTTTTTTCCCTGTGTTCCATCCTCCTTTTTTTGTTTGCTTCGGTTATTGATTTCCTTGTTCTATGTTCTGTCCTCTCTTTTTTTCTCAGCAATAATGCACAGCGGTTTTGTCTATGAGCCAGCACAATACTTAGGAGTCCCTTAAGGGAAGAAATGGAACAGAATGCCTTGTTTTGTAAAGTGAGAACTAAGCAAAAAAAAAAAAAAAAGATTAAGTACCACAGGAGGAGAAAAGCAATAGGTGGGGAAAGAAATGAAGATAACCGTGAAGGAGAAAGAGCACAGCAGCCTCATCTCATCGGGAAAGCCAAAAGAAGGAACTGGAAAAGTGACGGAAGGCCAGTACTTACAGACCCTAAAAAGAGACCTGCATTATGAGCAATGCATACTATGAGAAAATTGATGGCCATTCCTCTGCTTCTCTGGATCCACCCCCCTACTCTGAAGAAGAACCTCCTCCACTGGGACCTTATGCCGAGACACTGCCCACGCTGGGCTATGAAGCCATCCCTGCAATGCCACCTGAATACCAGCCTTGTTATGGTTTACCCAGAGAAGGATGCAATCCTGGTGCAGTCCTCTATCCATCACGGGCCATCTTCGTCGCAACTGCCCTTCCACCCAGCGTGCCTGATTACTTGGGCTACTCCATCTTTAATATGGTTTGTTGTTTTCTACCCTTGGGTATTGCTGCCTTCGTTTGCTCTATAATGGTAAGTTGGAGGGAGAGAAATAGAGAAATGTAAAGTGAGTTAGTTCTGAAACTATGCAGGGAAGGGGTGGCAGGTCTCTTACTCTTTATGATGGCCTTAAGGATTGTTCTTAAAAGAATATGGGGCAACAACTTGTCCAAAACTGGGAAGAATCGGGACTTTGGGGTTGTATTAAAGCAGTGTTTCTCAACCCTCCCAATGCTGCAAACCTTTAATATAGTTCCTTATGTTATGGTGACCCCCAACCATAATTTTTTTCTGTTGCTACTTCTGTAATTTTGCTACTGTTATGAATCTTTAATGTAAATATCTGATATACAAGATGTATTTTCATTCACTGGATCAAATTTGGCACAAATACCCGATACAGCCAAATTTGAATACTGGTGGGGTTGGGGAGAGTTGTCATTTGGGAGTTGTAGTTGCTGGGGTGTATAGTTAACCTACAATCAAAGAGCATTCTGAACTCCACCAACAATAGAATTCAACCAAATTTGGCACACAGAACTCCCATGACCAACAGAAAATACTGGGAGGGTTTGATGGGCTCAAACAATGATGGATCTGAACCAAACTTGGCACGAATACTCAATATGTCCAAATGTGAATACTGGTGGAGTTTGAGGAAAATATACCTTGACATTTTGGAGTTGTAGTTGTTGTGATTTATAGTTCAACTACAATCAAAAAACATTCTGAACCCAACCAATGATAGAATTAGGCCAAACTTCCCACAAAGAACCCCCATGACCAACAGAAAATACTATGTTTTCTGATGGTCTTTGGCGACCCCTCTGACACCCCCTCACAACCCCCTAGGAGTCCCAACCTCAAGGTTGAGAAACGTTATATTAAAGGTTTGTTTCCTCCATCTTTTAAGCCTTAGTGATGTGAGGTTTGAATTACTAAAGGAAAGAGATTCAACAAAATGGAAAGAATAATAAAGCATAAAGTGAGCATGGGCTATAGAGACATGTGAATTATGGTCTCTCCAAGGCATTCCAAAAAGTTATCTGTCTGAGGCTGAATCTATACTGCCCAAGAACCCAATCCCAGATTGTCTACTTATCCCAGATTATCTGGCAGTGTAGATTAATATAATCCAGTTCAAAGCAGATAATCTAGGATAAGATCCTGGGATATAGGGCAGTGTAGATCCATCTTTAGACTGGTTCAATAAAAATCAGGACTTTAATTCCAACAGGTGTATTGTGACATTCCACCTGCCCACTCAATGGGTTACAACAATGTTTAACAGGAGCCCCAACATGCCTCTGCTTTGCTAATGGACCCAAGGGGTGTTTGGAAAGCTTGCTAATATCATATGATTTCCTAAAATTGATCATCTTTTGCTGAGGGGTGACCTTTCATACATGCTGCACATGGTTCCACTCAGCAACATGACTGTCTATAATATCCTGCCCAGCTTTTCAAATTAGGATATGCTTCTCAAATTGGTAAAATGTTAAAGATGACCACATCTATGCTATGTTAGGTGGTCAGCTACCATTTTATACTAAAACATTATGAATAAAGGAATGAATGAATGAATTGTTTATTGTACCAGCCATAAACTAAAACATTATTTCTCTTTTTATTGTTGTTGCTGTTGTTATCATCACCATCATCAAGTGGATTTCCATTTGCAGGAATTAAAATTGCACAGTTGCAGAACAGACAGTAGAGGGCTGCTGTTATATTACTGTGTAGCAGAGCCAGCAAAGTCCCCAATGACCATGGGTACCCAATGTATAATGGGACCAAGGAACAATGGGATCAATGTGCATTGGTCCTGATGCACATTGCACAATAATACACATTGAACACTCTTGCCAGACTCCCATTAACCACTGCTATGTAGCTAGGTAAATGAAAAGTTATGTAACATAATGGGCCATATAAAATTGCAGCAATCATAATCATACTTTCACCTTTTCTTAAAATTGGGACTCAAGACCACTTACCATATGCTTACTATACACCAGATACTTCAGGGTGCTTCTAGACTGCCCTCAAATCCACAACAAAGTGGGTTTTAAAACCCCACTTTGGTGTGGATTTGGGGGACAGTCTGGAAAACCCGCTTTAGTGCAGATTTGAGTCCACACATCCCCAAAACCAAAACCATTATCTTCCTCCATGCACCTTCCTGGTATGAGGAAATGACAAAGCAGGTGACCTAGGCGGGGCGAGAAAGGTCCCCCTGCCCCACCGTGTCATTTCCTCACGTCAGGAGGGTGCGCAGAGGAAGATAATGGCAGCCAGGTAAGTTTTGTTACTTTTGGGGGTTGTTTTGTGGTTTGGGGGGGGAGGCAGGAGCCCTCTGGGGTTTTTTTTGGGCTTCTGGAGCTGAAAAACCAAGATGGCTGTGTAGATTGGGCCTGGAAATTGTGTGACACAGTCTTCAGGCCCAATCCACACAGGGCCCACATCTGATAAGGCCCGGATCTTACCTAAGATCCGAATCCTACCAGGTGTTTCATTAATTTGTAACAAAGCAGGAAATGAATTCTGAATTAATTTGTTTTTACTGGAAGTGACATTTGGACACCTCCAGTAAAACCGAGACAGGTCCGAGTTTTGGGGCCTGTCTGGATGGGCCCTCGGATATCAGATTAGATCAATGGTTCTCAACCAGTGGGTCCCAGGATGTTTTGGCCCTCAACTCCCAGAAATCCTAACAGCTGGTAAATTGGCTGGGATTTCTGAGAGTTGTAGGCCCAAACACCTGGAGACCCACAGGTTGAGAACCACTGGGTTAGATGATATTCCTGTTCCAGTCCTCCAAGTATGGATCTACCCCCAACATCTGATGGTCTGACAGCTCTCCATTGAAGAGCAACCTACAAGCAGCCCAGCCCGAAGGTTACCAAGGAATACTTTATGATGTGTTAGAGAAGGCAAAGTAAATAAGCTTTGCATAAAAAAGATGACTCAATCCAATTTTTCATTTAGAGCTAAGAGGGCCACTGCCAGTCTGAACTGACAATATTGGGTTACATAAATCACTGGGCTTTTTAAATATAGAGCAATTTCTGCAGATCCTTTGAATTTCTGCCTACATTGGCAATACAAAAACATATAGTCCCTCCATGAAGATGCTGATATGAGGCTGATGAAGCAGTTCTACCAACTGGCTGGCTAGATAAGGAAGGTAGATATTTTTCTTGCTCTTTTATATAAAATAAGCCAAATAAAAGGAGGAATTCATGAAACTGAGATCAACATATGTCAAAGCTTCAGAATATGGATGATTACGATTTAAAAATAATTAATTTCCATCTACCTAATACTATTACTGCACTAATGGAAAAGAAGCTTATGTTAACTTATGGGTAGATTACTTTTTTGTTTCTTTCTGGAATTTAGGAATATTAAAAAATGGCATATTACTGTTAGCCACTTTGAGTCCCTATGGGGAGAAAAAAGGGGTAGAAATAAACATAACAAAAACAAACAAACAAACTTGGACAAGAGAATTACAGAATCATAGAGTTGGAAGAGACCCCAGTCCAATCCCATTCTGCCATGCAGGAAAACACAGTCAAAGCATTATTGACATATGATCATCTAGCCTCTACTTAAAAACCTCCAAAGAAGGGTCCCGTCCAGACCGTACCTTTATTCCAGGAGCTTTTGCAGCAAACAGAAGGGTGGCCAAATGCTGTTCCCTGGAAACACAGAAGCAATAGCTACAAATGGCAAAAAACATAAGATTTTCAGCTTTGGGAATATCCCACTTCTGAGCCGAAAATCCGCATCTTCAAATGTCTGTAAGTCCCTGCACTCAGAAATCATGGGATGTTTTATTTAGGTTTGCTCCCAGGTTTTAGATGTTTGTTCCTGATTGGTCAATTCCTAAAAAGATGGTGACAGTTGAGTAGAATGTGAAAAGTTTGTTTGTGTGACAGAAACTTCATGAAAGATGTGGAGGGCACATTTTCTCTGGCTAGGACAAAGTCGTGGTCCCCTAGTTAACGCTATACATTTTTTTCACAATAAGAGCAATCAGGAGCAGACATGCATAACCCAGGAACAACGCCCTGTATGCATAGATGGCCCTGCAGTTTATATAACCCAGGAACTGAACTTATATACAGTTTATATAACCCAGGAACCCATCTTCACATTTTAAGTTTTTTGAACCCTCCCCCACCCCCCAATTTCTGGCAGAAGTCCCAYGGTGGTAATCGTGGGAGCCTCTAAATCCCACAACAAAGAAGCAAGTATGGACAACAGAAGCAGAAATCCCGAGACCAACAGGTCTGTATGTAGACCTCTTCGGAAGTCCCGGGATTTKTTGCCCGATTAAAATCTGTGATTTGCTGCTGCCTGGACGTGCCCAAGGAAACCACACTCTGACATTCCACTATTAAAGAAAGGTTCTTGCTAACATTCAGGTAAAATCTGAATGTTCATATCTGTGTCTTCAAAAAAAAAAAATAGGGACCCCCCCTCCCTCCGCCCACAACCTCCCAGTGACATTACTTAGCCCCATGCACACTGTCATTATAATGCAAACTGATGTACATTATATGGCAATTTAATCCGGTGGTGCAGTGGGTTAAAACCCTTGTGCCGGCAGAACTGAAGACCAACAGGTCGCAGGTTCGAATCCGGGGAGAGGCGGATGAGCACCCTCTATCAACTCCAGCTCCTCATGCAGGGACATGAGAGAAGCCTCCCACAAGGATGATAAAAACATCCAATCGTCCAGGTGTCCCCTGGGCAACGTCCTTGCAGACGGCCAATTCTTTCACATCAGAAGCGACTTGCAGTTTCTCAAGTCGCTCCTAACACGACATCTGGTTCAAAGCAGATAAACTGTATTATATGTCACTGACCATATAATGCATTTCAATCTGCAATATAAAGGCAGTGAAAATGGGACCTTATTCTCCAGAGCAGGGGTCCACAAACTAAGGCCCGGGGGCCAGATATGGCCCTCCAAGATCATTTACCCGGCCCTCACTCAGGGTTAACCTAAGTCTGAAATGATTTGAAAGTACACAACAAGAACAACAATCCTATCTCATCAGCCAAAAGTAGGCCCACACTTCCTATTGAAATACTAATAAGTTTATATTTGTTAACATTGTTCTTCATTTTAATTATTGTATTGTGTATAAGATATGTGCAGTGTGCATAGGAATTCAATTTTTTTCAAATTATAATTCGGCCCTCCAACAGTTTAAAGGACTATGACCTGGCCCTCTGTTTAAAAAGTTTGTGGACCCCTGCTCTAGAGCATTCTATCCATGCTCAAGTCTGGATGTAAACATTATTTCCTATGTTACAGGTAGTATGAGACAAACCCTACCTGTCCGAACATATCACCCCCTATGAACCATCTCGGAAATTAAGATAGTCTGGGGAGGCCCTGCTCTTGGTCCCACCTTCTTCACAAGCATGGCTGGTGGGGACGAGAGACAGGACCTTCTCAGTGGTGACCCCTCAGTTACGGAACTCCCTCCCTAGTGATATCAAATAATCCCCTTCCCTCCTAGGGTTCAGAAGGAGAGTAAAAACCTGGCTCTGGGAGCAGGCTTTTGAAAAACAGGGCAATGCAGTAATTTTAATGTGGAAAATGTGCAATTTGACTATGGAATATCCTTAGACTCTGACTCTGGATGGCGTGATTGCATTGGAAGGTATTTTAATTAATTTTAATTCAGGTTATTTTAAAGTTAACATGTTTTTAAGGCACTGCAGTGGTGCGATATGTAAGTCACCTTGAGTCCCCCTCGGGGTAGAGAAAGGTGGGATATAAATAAGGTAAATATATAAATAAGAGTTCTTTGATGGCCAACATAATACATAATTCATCTCTTTCTCCCCCCAGACCCGAATAGCCAATCACAGTGGGGATGGCACAACTGCTCAGCGAAACTCCAGGATGGCACTCATTCTGGCCAACACAGCATTCGGTGTCGGGCTGGCCCTCTGGATTATATTGCTCACAATATTTCTATGGTGATCCTTGCTAACTAGGCAACCAGACTTCACAAACAAAATGAACTCAACTACGCATTCATGATGTTCTGAGGCTAAGAAAACTCCCCATGTCACACCTAGCTTCATTTCCTTCTTTTGGCATCACACCATGAAAAGATGTGCTATAGGATGCTTCACACTTGTATCAACGCTTTCTGATTTAAATTCATTTGACGGTAAAAATCAACAATGGAATATGTGAACTTCAAAACATTTTCTTTTGAGTCGACGTGAAAAGACTGGATGAAACTTCTACCGAACAACAGACTTGGAATAATCTATCAGTGGTGAACATCAGATGTAATTTACCTCTACAATAAACAACAAAACAAAGCATATGATTGATCGGTGATGATGTGGTTTATTGATTAGAATTAGGCCTGGGTCTTGCTCAGTATAGATTCTGATCCCCAACAAACTATGAAGCCTGGGTCAATCACTTGTTCTTAATTTATCCTAAGACTGGGGACCAGAGTCATGTGGAAATTAAGATTTATTTATTTATTTATTTATCGTGTCAGGAGCAAACCAAACAGTTGTATTGCATTTTTAACAAACAAACAAACAAACAAACAAACAAAACACAAAGATTGGAAGCTTGGTATTCTATTAAATGTCCTTTGACAAGTAGCTGACCACTTGGAGTGCCTCTGGTGTTGCCGCAAGGAGGTCCTCCATTGTGCATGTGGCAGGGCTCAGGTTGCATTGCAGCAGGTGGTCAGTGGTTTGCTCTTCTCCCCACTCGCATGTCGTGGATTCCACTTTGTAGCCCCATTTCTTGAGGTTGGCTCTGCATCTTGTGGTGCCAGAGCGCAGTCTGTTCAGCACCTTCCAAGTCGCCCAGTCTTCTGTGTGCCCGGGGGGGGGGGGGGGGGGTGGGGGGGGGGGGGGGGGGGGGGTTTCTCCCCAAGTGCCCGCTCAGTTTTTTGGTATCAGCCATTGGTTGAGGTTCTGGGTTTGAGCCTGCCACTTTTGGACTCTCGCTTGCGGAGGTGTTCCAGCGAGTGTCTCTGTAGATCTTAGAAAACTATTTCTAGATTTAAGTCGTTGACGTGCTGGCTGATACCCAAACAGGGGATGAGCTGGAGATATCTCTGCCTTGGTCCTTTCACTATTGGCTGCTACTTCCCGGAGGATGTCAGGTGGTGCAATACCGGCTAAGCAGTGTAATTTCTCCAGTGGTGTAGGGCGCAGACACCCCGTGATAATGCGGCATGTCTCATTAAGAGCCACATCTACTGTTTTAGCGTGGTGAGATGTGTTCCACACTGGGTATGCATACTCAGCAGCAGAGTAGCATAGCGCAAGGGCAGATGTCTTCACTGTGTCTGTGAAGGTTGTGCCAGTCAGCTTCCGTATGATATTGTTTCTAGCGCCAACTTTTTGGTTGATATTCAGGCAGTGCTTCTTGTAGGTCAGAGAACGGTCCAGAGTGACTCCCAGGGATTTGGGTGTGCTGCAGTGCTCCAGTGGGATTCCTTCCTAGGTAATCCTCAGAGCTCAAGATGCTTTTCTGTTCTTAAGTGAAAAGCACATGTCTGTGTTTTGGATGGATTAGGGATCAGCTGGTTTTCCCAGTAATAGGCAGTAAGGGCACCTAGAGCTTCGGAGAGCTTCTGTTCAACCATCTCAAAGCTCCCTGCTTGAGCGGTAATGGCACGATCATCTGCATAGATGAAACTCTCTGTCCCTTCTGGCAGTGGCTGGTTTTTAAATAAGATTAATGATCAAAATCATCTGATGGTTGAAAATGTTTATATGCACTCCATTAGTATCAATAGCAACAAACTATCCTGATGTACTGAAAAGCATGAGATGAACTGAGGCCCCTTCTAGAAGGGCCCATAGTGTTTAGGGATGTTTTGGGGCTTAAATCCTATTTGTAGGCTTTCAGGTAGAATGGGCTTGGCTACTGTGGGAATGAAATGCTGGAATAGATTAACAGTGATTAAGCAGGGTTCTTGTGAAAGTAAAAAGCTTGCGTAATCCAGAGGCCGTCAGAGTTAGAAGAATCATTTAACCTGTTCCTGGACACTTTACTCTATGAAACTGATCAAATAGACTTAAGTCTATGAACGTTTCTTTCTCTCAGGCCCCTTCCACACTGCCATACAGTATAGATGCACCCTAAGTTCTTTATCCGCATTTATTTTTGTGCTTTTATCTGTAGTTGTGGTCACAACAGAAGATGAGGTATTTCTCCAAATTGCCGCAGATCAGGCTGTTGTAAAAGGCATTTTCAGTGAACTGTTGATAAGTTGGCAACCTTACCTTTTAACATGTTTATATAAGTGATTCAGTCTGCCAAGCAGCAAAACCTTTAGGAGTTGGAATATTCTCTAAGATATGAGTTCTCTAAAAGACGATCCATGGAGCTTGATGTATTTTGCTACTTCATCACACTAGAGAATAAATCCACTTTAAATCCAGTTTATTTACTATTTATTTATTTATTTACTATACTTGTATAGTACCACCTCTCCACCAAAGTCAACATCGACACCAAAATACAACACCGCCTGAGCTCTGCGAGTGCAGCATTTTTCCGAATGAAGAAGAGAGTGTTTGAGGACTGGGACATCCGTAGGGATACCAAGGTGCTTGTTTATAAAGCTATTGTCCTCCCAACCCTGCTATATGCCTACAAAAAATGGACTGTCTACAGACGTCACATGCAACTTCTGGAACGATTCCATCAGTGCTGCCTCCGGAAAATCCTGCAAATCTCTTGGGAAGACAAGTGGACAAATGTCAGCATGCTGGAAGAAGCAAAGACCACCAGCACTGAAGTGATGGTCCTCTGCCATCAACTCCGCTGGACTGGCCACATTGTCTGAATCACCGTCTCCCAAAGCAGTTGCTCTACTCTAAACTCAAGAATGGAAAATGGAATGTTGGTGGGCAGGAAAAGATATTTAAAGATGGCTTTTTTTCTTTTTTCTTTCCTCTTTTTCTGTTTTTTTTTTTTTTGTTTCTCCCTTTTCTCTTTGCTATATTTTAAGTCTTATGAAAATCTCAATAAAGAATATTTTTAAAAAAAGAAAAGATATTTAAAGATGGCCTCAAAGCCAACCTTAAAAACTCTGGCATAGACACTGAGAACTGGGAAGCCCTGGCCTGTGAGCGCTCCAGCTAGAGGTCAGCTGTGACCAGCAGTGCTGCAGAATTTGAAGAGGCATGAATGGAGGGCAAAAGAGAGAAACGTGCCAAGAGGAAGGCGTGTCAAGCCAACCCCGCCCGGATCCACCTTCCACCTGGAAACCAATGCCCTCACTGCGGAAGACAATGCAGATCAAGAATAGGGCTCCACAGTCACCTACAGACCCACCCTGGAAGATTATCCTACTCGGACAACGAGGGATCGCCTAAGTAAGTAAGTAAGTAAGTAAGTAATACTTGTATACCGCCTTTCTCAGCCTTATCAGCGACTCAAGGTGGTTTACAAGTACATATAACAACAAAATACAAATTAAACATGAAAACAAAATCCTGCCTCTTGAAGAATTTTGGGGTTTGTAGTTTAGGGAGGAGGCTTTAACACCCTCACTAAACTACAAACCCCAGAATTCTGCAGGAGGCAGAAACCGGATTTAAAGTGGATTCATTCTCTAGTGTGATGAGCATTACGTAGTCTATTTGGATGCGCATTATATTAAGCTTGAATTCATTACTTAAGAAATGTTCATTGCTCCAAGATCCAAGCTCTTGGGTGAAAACGGCATGGCACCTCCTTCACAGAAAGAAAATCTGATAATCTCATTTTCAGAGAAGGCGGATTATCAAGAAAGACACAGACTTTGCTATATGGGAGACATTTTCTATTGTAAAATACTTTCTAAAAGCATGGTTCTTATACCAAGTATGCCTTGAACTCACCAGAAATGTACCGGTCTCACCTTCCTCCTGAAGGTTAGACCTAAAAATGACACTAAAAATGTCAAATTACCTGTCAAATAAGGAATCTTATTTATTTCCTGTCAATCTTATGGTCTGGTAGATACTGGTATTACTGCATTTTTTTACCCTGCTTTTTTCTACCAGTTTGGACTCATGGATTATTTGGTAGTCTTTTTAGGGGGGTGCAATTCCAGAATCCTCCTCTGTCCTTGTGCCTAAAGGGCTTTGGGATTTATAGTCCAAAAGTAACATCTCCAGACCTTGATGCTGAACCCACACAGACTTGCAAAACTTGAACACTATATTCACATACTTATGTAGTGAAACAGATGCATGTATCAGCTTGACGTAGTTGTAACTCTGAGGCAAAAGTGACAGAATGCAAAACTGATCTTAATCTCAAGACTCAGGCTAGATCTACACTTCCCTATATCAAAGATTATCTGTTTATCCCAGATTAACTAACAATGTATACAGAGGCCCCTTCTTCACTGCCATATAAAATCCAGATTATCTGCTCTGAACTGGATTTTATGGCAGTGTAGATTAAGATAATCCAGTTCAAAGCAGATAATGATAATAATGTGGATTATCTGCCTTGATATTCTGGATTATACAGCAGTGGGGAAGGCCCCTGAAGTCTATTATGTTTTTGACTTCTTTCTCTCAGTTATGCTGAATCCACATGGGCAAAAAAATCATACTTACTTAGACCTCAGTTTTGAAGGAACACATGACTTTTGTGTGTGTGTTTCAAAATGAAAGCACCCAATTTTCACACCTGGGGGCCGTAATCTGATTTTAAAAAAAAAAAACCCTGCTTACTCCAAAGTCTGTTTGTTTGTCTGTTTGTTTGTTTGTTTGAAGTGTGCTCTGTATGCCTCCGAATAATTTAAGATTAAGAAGCTTGTTTGTTTGTTTGTTTATTGGACTTTGTAAGAACTGTAAAATTGCTTTTTTTAAAAAAAAAATTCAAAAACCTTACAGTGAAGTGGAATTGTGGGAGAGTGGATTACAGCCACAGGACCCAAAATCAGCCGATTGTTGCTGTTGCAGAACCATGAAAAGGTTGAAGGACAGTTCCAAAATGCTGAAAACTTTGGCAAAAACAAACAAACCCTTGCAACTGGGTTGCTGTGAGTTTTCCAGGCTGTATGGCCATGTTCCAGAAGCATTCTCTTCTGAAGTTTCACCCACATCTATGGCAGACAAGAGTTCTTTCTCCCACCCTGGACGTGCCACAGATATATAAACCTCACTTGCCTATTTTCCAACAGACCTCACTACCTCTGAGGTTGCCTGCTATAGATGTGGGTGAAATGTCATGAAAGGATGCTTCTGGAACATAGTCATACAGTCCAGAAAACTCACAGCAATCCAGTGATTCCGGTCATGAAAGCCTTTGGCAGCAAATACTTGTAAGTCGGAGACGGTCAAATTCCTACCACCATATAATTCCCTGATCTGGAATTCAAAGTTACATCTACATCTAGAATTAATGCAGTTTGACATCCATGACTCAATGTTACAATATGCAGGGAGTTGTAGTTTTCAAAGTTTTTTAGCCTTCTCTGCCAAAAACTATAAATCCTATGATTCCACAGCATTGCGTCATGACAGTAAAAGTGGTGTCAAATGACGTTCATTCTACAGTGTATGAGATGCAACCTTTGTCTCTTGAATAATGGATTACTATCAACAAGATTCATGCTGAGAGCCAGCATAAAGTAGGTTTCAGCATTGGGCTATAACTCCAGAGAACAGGGTTAGAAACCCTACTTGACCTCGGAAACCAACAGAGTGACTTTGGATTAAGTCACACCTTCTCAATCCCAGAAGGTGGCTAAGGGCCCTTCCACACAGCCCTGTAGCCCAGAATATCAAGGCAGAAAATCCCACATTATCTGAGTTTGGATTCAGATAACCCAGTTCAAAGCAGATAATGTGGGATTTTCTACCATGATATTCTGGGATATAGGGCTGTGTGGAAGGGGCCTGGGTTATCTTAGTCCACACTCTGATAATATGGGATTTTCTGCCTTAATATTCTGGGATACAGGGCTGTGTGGAAGAGCCCAAAATAAAACCTCTCTTAATCTTGGCAAGAAATCCCCATGACAAAGTCACCGTAAGTTGGAAAGAACATCTACAAAATACTGGAGAAAGTATTTGCTTATAAAGAGTGACTGGCTCGGTATCCTTAACAGTAAACTTGGTGTCACGGCAAACATTAGTAGAAGGTCAAAATTCCTTATTGTTAACTGTGCCAGCCTCCAGCACACAAATACATCCATCATATCCTGCTCTAAGAAGTGGTTCCCAACCTTTGGTCCTCTAGGTGTTTTGGACTATAGCTCCCACAATTCCTAAGAGATGGTAAACTAGCTAGGGCCCCTTCTACACAGCCCTATATCCCAGAATATCAAGGCAGAAAATCCCACAATATCTGCTTTGAACTGGGTTATTTGAGTCCACACTCAAATAATGTGGAATTTTCTGCCTTGATATCCTGGGATTTAGGGCTGTGTGGAAGGGCCCTGGGATTTCTGGGAGTTGAAGACCAGAACACCTGGAAGACCGAAGATTGGGAACCACTGCTCTATGGAGTAGTGAGGTTATGTTCAGTCCTGAACTCTGAGATCTTTGCCAGCAGTGCAAGTTCTTCATTACAGAGCTAGAGTTATATCAAGCTGGGGCATGTATCTCTTTCATTGCTTAAGTATATGAACTTTTTGTTTCCAGTTCGCCATGTCGGTGCAGGTTCAACATCAACACCTGGAAAGGTTACTTTTGGAGTACAAGTCCCAGGATGCTTTAGCCAACAGGGTCAAAGGGGGAGTCTGGGAATACAATAGTCTCGCTTATCCAACATATACGGAACGGCAGAACGTTGGATAAGCAAAAATGTTGGATAATAAGGTGGGATTAAGGAAAAGCCTATTAAATGTCAAATTACATTATGATTTTACAAATTAAGCACCAAAACATCATGTTTTACAACAAATCGTCAGAAAAAGGAATTCAATATATGGTAACATTTTGTAGTAATTCCTATATTTATGAATTTAGCACCAAAACATCACAATGTATTGAAACAACTGTGGATCCGGGCATGAGGCAGACTGTGTTGGATAATACAGAACATTGGATGAGTGAAGTCTGGAAAGTGAGACTCTACTGTAGAAGTAAAGAATGCAATTTCCCCCAAAAGACATGAGTACCAACTGGTAGGAAAAGGCAGGGCAAAAGAAAGAGAATATGCAGTCACACCACTACCTACCAGACCCTAACCATGGCAGGAAATATATAAGAATCATTGTTTGACATCTTCAGCATAGGGAGTGCCCACTCCTTTTGACTTTGAGGAAGGAGGTGAGACCTGTACTTTTCTGGCAAGTTTAAGGCTTACTTTGTATAACAAGCATGCTTTTAAACCATGATTTACAATGGAAAATGTCTCTTTTGTAGCAAAGTCCATGTCTTTCTTGCTACTCCACCTTCCTTCATTTCCTGTTCTCTGACATCATCAGCTTTTCTGTTTGCGGAAAAGCTATGGGTTGCAGAGAAGCAATTGCGGAGAAGCTATGTTCTCACCTGAGAGATCACATCTCAGAGCAATGAATATATCTTAATTCATGCTTAATAGTATGCACACCCAGATAGACTATATGATAGACATACCAAAGTATGTCAGGTTCCACTGATCTCCTTCCAAGAAAATCAAACCTGGAGAAGATCCCAACTTCTAGAGTTGGGATCCCAATTTTTCCTGCTTGCAAAATTGGTACTACTTATAATCAAGTTAAAAGGTAAAGTTGCCAACTTATCAACAGGTCCCTGAAACTAGGCTTTTACCAGCAGCTTGTTCTGCAGGAATTTGGAATGATTTCCCCAGGTAGTAAGAAGCCAGAGCTTGAAAACTTTACTTACTTAGGCAATGCCTCGTTGTCCGAGTAGGATAATCATCCAGGGTGGGTCTGTAGGTGACTATGGAGCCCTATTCTTGATCTGCATCGTCTCCTGCAGTGAGGGCATTGGTTTCCAGTTGGAAGGCGGTCCCGGTTGGGGTTGACTTGACGTGCCTTCCTCTTGGCACATTTCTCTCTTTCACCTTCCATTTGTGCCTCAATCCCTTGGAAAACGCCTGTGCGTGATTTTTTAAAAATGTGTGGAGGTCAGTGCACACTGATCAACACACAGTTTTCACAGAGTGAGGTTCCTCGGGTGGCATAGTTTACCAAGATGACCGTGGCTTCTCAATCTGTTGCAGCCTTCTTCCGCCTTCACAGCCGTTGTAACATGTACCATGTTATCCTCCGCCTGCTTCGCCATTGAGGTCTTTGAGTCTTTGAACTGCGCTTGGCCTGGAACCACCCCCACGGCCACTCCTGGGAGTACACGACTCCAGTCGTTGTGCCCACAGGTTCATCAGAACACGCCACCCCCCTCACCACAATAAGGTGACAGTCCATCAAGGGAGGCTTGAAATCTGCTCCAGTGGTTTTCAACCTGGGGTCCCCAGATGTTTTTGTCCTTCAACTCCCAGAAATCCTAACAGCTGGTAAACTGGCTGGGATTTCTGGGAGTTGTAGGCCAAAAACATCTGGGGACCCCAGGTTGAGAACCACTGTGCTAGGCCATTAAATGCTAATCAAGGTGGCCAATTGAAACATTCACACGTATCTCCAACAGACAAAAGTTTTTTTCTCTTACCCTGTACATTCAACAGATATATAAACCCAATTTTCCTAGTTTCCAACAGACCTCACAACCTCTGAGGATGCCTGAAACAGATACAGGTGAAACGTTAGGAGAGAATGCTTCTGGAACATGGCCATACAACCCAAAAAATGTACAGCAACCCAGTGATTCCGGCCATGAAAGCCTTCAACAGAACAACAAAAAAAATCAATGATGAAAATTAAGCTATGCAAAATCATAATATTTAATACTGATAAAATGACCTGTAACCACTGGTTAGTATGTGTTGGGTGTTGTTGAGTTTATTGGTCTATTTGTAGCTTTTCCAGTAGAATCAGCTCAGCACTGGAGCCCCCGGTGGCACAGTGGGTTAAAGCCCTGTGCTGGCAGGACTGAAAACCGACAGGTCGCAGGTTCGAATCTGGGGAGAGGCGGATGAGCTCTCTCTATCAGATCAAGCTCCTCATGTGGGGACATGAGAGAAGCCTCCCACAAGGATGATAAAACATCAAAAATTATCCTTGCAGACAGCCAATTCTCTCACAACAGGACGCTCCTGACACGACAAAAAAAAAAAAAAAGCTCAGCACTATGGGAATGAAATGCTGGACTAGATGGACAGAGTTGCTGTGCCATAAGGGTACCTTGAGGATCCTGAGGCTATTAGAGTCTAAAGAGTCATTCAACTGTAACCATTTCTAAGCTGTAGCTTTCCAGGGACTTACTCCATAGCAAAGGTGGAAACAAATAAAGAACTGGAGCCCCCTGTTGTCATACTCAGTGCAAACTTTCTTACTTCCTTATTCCACCTACACATTAAACCAGACTATAAAAGGCATGCTGAAGGCATTCTGTTCAAGAGCCAGAGCAAGATACAATAGCCCTGGTTGCACATAAGAAAAAGAAAGTGACCCGACTTAGCCAACCCAGGCATTCAGTCATAAAGATAACTCCTGGAGAAAAGCACCTCAAAGGGTTGAAAGTTAAAGGCTGGAGGAAAATTACTGAAGAAGCAGCAGCTGTTGGGGGAGAAATCCAAAAGACAAGGATCTTAGAAGAGTGAAGCAGGAGAAACTGAGAAAGAAGAAGAGACTGTTTTTTTCCAGAGTTGCAAAACAAGGAGGAAGAAAGCAGACTCACGCCATGAGTGAACCCAACTACCAGAAGGTCCAAGGTGTCCCTGACATGCAGAATCTACCCCCCTACTCTGAAAAGCAGGGCCATGAAAAGGCTGACCCACTGCAACCTCCTCATGGGCCAGAACCCTATGGAACAACTCCGCCAGAGCCACCCCAGTACCAGCCTTATCCCGGGCCACCTGGTGTGGGGCCTGATCAAGGCCCAATCCTTCAGCCCATGCAGACCGTCTACATCACTCCAGTCCAGCCCACCAATGAACCCACCTACCTGGGCTATTCCATCTTCACTATGCTTTGCTGTTGCCTACCGTTGGGTATTGCTGCCTTAGTTTACTCTGTACAGGTAAGTCTGGGTATAGTTATGAATACCTGGCTGGGAGGAAGATGGGGAAGTACAAGGCAGGGTCCGGATAATGTTCCTGGAAAGAATATGTATTCCCAGATGAAAGAACTGCATTTTTAAAAGTGAGACAATTCCATCAGAAAACCAGCAAGAACATTTGTGTAACTTTCATCCCAAATTCAAACATGCAGAAGTGCTGTGTAAAAATTATTTTTCAAAGAAAAACCTGTAGGGTCTAGGTTGTTGTAAGTTTTTTGGGCTGTATGGTCATGCTCCAGAAGCATTCTCTCCTGATGTTTCACCTGCATCTATGGCAGGCATCCTCTGAGGTTGTGAGGTCTGTTGGAGGTTGAAGGTTGAAAGGTTTCCAACAGATCTCACAACCTCTGAGGATGCCTGCCATAGATGCAGGCGAAACGTCAGGAGAGAATGCTTCTGGGACATGGCAATACAGCCCAAAAATCTTACAACAATACAGTGATTCCAGCCACGAATGCCTTTGACAATACCTGTAGGGTCTTTTGGCTGCTCAAAAAGTACTTATTTTTCTATAGAGAATAAATTCCTCTAACATGGAGAATGTGTTTGTGCCTGTGCATACCTGTCAATTTATGGTGACCCCATGACTTTCATAGGGTTTTCTTTGACATGGAAGGCAGGGCTTGCCAATTTCTAGGGTTTTCTTTGACAAGGACAATTCATGGGGGATGGGGGTTGCCAGTTCCTTCCTCTGAAAAGTAGCCTACAGCAACTGGTGTTTGTTGGTGGTCTTCCATCAAAGTACTAACCAGGTCTGACCCTGCTTAGCTTTCAAGATCAAATAGGATCTGGTGCCTCCAGGACAGGGGTCCTCAAACTAAGGCCCGGGGGCCGGATACAGCCCTCCAAGGTAATTTACCCGGCCCTCACTCAGGGTCAGCCTAAGTCTCAAACGACTTGAAAGCACACAACAACAACAACAACAATCCTATCTCATCAGCCAAAAGCAGGCCCACACTTCTCATTGAAATACTAATAAGCTTATATTTATTAAAATTGTTCTTCATTTTAATTGTATTGTTTTAAAGTGTTTTTTTTCTCTACAAATAAGATATGTGCCATGTGCATAGGAATTTGTTAAAAAAAATTTCAAATTCTAATCCGGCCTCCAACAGTTTGAGGGACTGTGACCTGGCCCTAGGTTTAAAAGGTTTGTGGACCCCTGCTCTGGGATATTTAGGCCTTATAGACAGACTACTACAGAGAGATATTCAGTTTCTTCAGGCCCAGAGGAAGAATTTAATATTTATTTATTTACCTTATTTAGACCCCACCTTTCTCAACTCTGATGGGGACTCAAGGTGGTTTACATATAGACAATTACTCAATGCCTTAGAGCAGGGGTCCTCAAACTAAGGCCCAGGGGCCAAATACAGCCCTCGCTCAGGGTCAGCCTAAGTCTGAAATGACTTGAAAGCACACAACAACAACAACAATCCTATCTCATTAGTCAAAAGCAGGCCCACACTTCCCATTGAAATACTTATAAGTTTATATTTGTTAAAATTGTTCTTCATTTAAATTATTGTATTGTTTTAAAGTGTTTTCTGCACTACAAATAAGATACGTGCAGTGTGCATAGGAATTCATTCATGCTTTTCTCGAATTATAATCTGGCCCTCCAACAGTTTGACGGACTGTGACCTGGCCCTCTGTTTATAAAGGTTGAGGATCCCTGCAATAGAGTCGCGCTTATCCAACACAAACAGGCCAGCAGAACATTGGATAAGTGAAAATATTGGATTTATTTATTTATTTATTGTGTCAGGAGCGAATGGACAGACCTCTCAACCTCCGAGGATGCCTGCCATAGATGTGGGTTTATTTATTTATCGTGTCAGGAGCAAACCAAAACAGTTGTATTGTATTAAAAACAAACAAACAAAACACAGACTTTTTTTCTGTGGTATTCTATTAAATGTCCTTTGACCAGTAGCTAGCCACTTGGAGCGCCTCTGGTGATGCTATAAGAAGTTCCTCCATTGTGCATGTGGCAGGGCTCAGGTTGCATTGTAATAGGTGGTCTGTGGTTTGCTCTTCTCCACACTTCCACATCGTGGATTCCACTTTGTGGCCCCATTTCTTAAGGTTGGCTCTGCATCTCGTGGTGCTAGAGCGCAGTCTGTTCAGTGCCTTCCAAGTCGCCCAGTTTTCTGTGTGCCCAGGAGGGAGTCTCTCATTTAGTATCAGCCATGGATTGAGGTTCTGCCACTTTTGGACTCTCGCTTGCTGAAGTGTTCCTGTAAGTATCTCTGTAGATCCAGTGGTGTAGGGCACAGATGCCCTGTGATAATGCAGCATGTCTCATTAAGAGCCACATCCACTGTTTTAGTGCGGTGAGATGTGTTCCACACTGGGCATGCATACTCAGCAGCAGGGTAGCATAGCACAAGGGCAGATGCAGACCCTCCCCAGACAATCTTAATCTCCCAGTTGGTTAATAAGGGAATATACATTCAAACTACTCTAATTATTTATCCTATCTGAAAGGACAAAATAGTTCCTGTAAGGCCATGGGGAAGAAGCCAAAAGATCAAATAACTCCATGGAAACTGTTTACAATAGATTTATGGAGACTATATTGATCTGAGTGGATCAGTACTTCTTTGAATAGCTTATTCCTGCATAATTCAAGTATTGGTGGAATGCATTTATATTGAGCTGGGGAGATCCAGCTAGGAATCAGCAACAGAATTGGAAGGGTCCACAAGAGCCATCTACTCTAAATCTCTGGTATGCAGAAAAATACAACTAAAGTATTCCTGAAAGATGCCAACTTAGTGTCTGATTAAAGTCCTCCAAAGATGGAGAACCCACAGTCAGCCAACCCAGGTAACCTGATCCACTGCTGAACAGTACTTACAGTCAATAAGTTTTCCAAATGTTTAGGGAGAAGCTTTTTTCTTGTGCAGACAGCCCTCCCTACCTATACATTCTGTATCCTTGGATTCAGCCATCTGTTACTTGAAAAATACCCAAAAATGCAAACCTTGATTTTGCCATTTTATACAAAGGAGATCGGTTTACTATGCCAAAGTAAATCATAATAATAATAAATAATAAATAATGGTATATTATTATAAATAACTAGCTGAACCCACCACGCCTTGCTGTGGCCAACTTTCACTCCCTCTCTCTTCTTTCTTTCTTTCTCTCCTTCCTTCCTTCCCTCCCTCTTTCCTTCCTTCCCTTTTTTTTCTTTCTTTTTCTCCTTCCTTCTCTTCTTCATCCCTTCCTTCCATGCTCCACCCTTTCTTTCCCTTCTTCTTTCTCCCCTTTCTTTATCTATTCTTAGACTGCAACTCCCAGCAGTCCTCCTGATCTATCTATCTACCTACCTATCTCTATCTAATCTATTTATCTGGAGGATTGCTGGGAGTTGCAGTCCAAGAATAGGAAATTGGAAATATGCAGGGATTGGGATGCTCTCAAAGAAATCCAAGGAGAAAAAAAGCTTTCATCTTGGAAGCAGTGCATTTGGATCACCCTCCTCTCCTAAAGGGCCTGGTCTAGGAGATGCTGGGAGCTGTAGTGTGGAAGAGAGTATGGATATGCTATTGTGTGTTTTGTTTGCTGGAGGAGTTGTTTTTGCACACGCATTGTAGTGCCTTTTTTGCTTTTTTGCTTTTAAAGTCCCTTCTGCTGTGTTTTTCAGTGTTTTTATGAGTGATGGTCACTTTTTGGCCTGATATGTATATTGTGTCCAAATTTGGTGTCAATTCGTCCAGTGGTGTTTGAGTTATCTTAATCCCACAAACTAACATTACATTTTTATTTATATAGATAATAAATAATAATAATAATAGTAAATAATGGGACTTGAGGATCCAGCTATTTTTATTTCCATTGTGGGGTCTTGGAACCAAATCCCATCAGATGCCAAGGCCCAATGTACTTTGAGACCATTGATATGTGTTCTAGATTAAAAAGAACACTGGGTTTTTCTATATCCTTTCAGATATTTGAATATGGCAGTCATGTCACACCTCAGTCTTTTCTTCTCCAAGTCACATAAGGAAGCACAAAGTTGCCGGGGGAAATGGGGTTTGGGGAGTGCCTGCATAAGAACAAAGGAAAGCCTTGTTTGATCTGACCAAAGACCCATCTGCTTCAGCATCCTGTTTGCATAGTGGCCAACCAGTAACATATGGGAAGCGTCCTAGCAGGACATGAAGATAATAGCATTCTCTTCCTCATGCTCTTAACAACTGGCATTGAGTTGTTAAGAGCAACTACTGGTTGCTAACTAGGTATTCTTTCACTTCAACAAGAGTGGGCAAATGTGGAAGGTATATGCTGGTTCCCATTAAGATCTTAGGAGATTGAATCTCCACTATCACATCCTCACACAAAAAATGTCCCAAATGCAAGTATGAGTGATTTTCACCTCCTATTCATTTTCTGGATCAAAAAGCAGTTTACTGAGTCTAAATTGGCTCCGAGTAAAAGCAAAAGCATGGTGAAAATGCCCCCACATCCCAAAGAAAGCATTTGGGGATGGAAAAAAAATGCACATTTTCACAACAAATTAAATGCCTATTTTTCCTCAGTTAAAAATAACAAAGGAATCCCCCTTTTGTGACAGTCAGGGTTAATACATTCCTTTGAAAACTTTATATTTCATGGTCCTGAATAGTTATCAACAATCTATCTATAGGTTGCTGTGAGTTTTCCGGGCTGTATGGCCATGTTCCAAAAGCATTCTCTCCTGACATTTCACCCACATCTATGGCAGGCATCCTCAGAGGTTGAGAGGTCTGTTGGAAACTAGGCAAGTGAGGTTTATATATCTGTGGAATAATGTCCAGGGTGGGAGAAAGCATTCTTCTCTGCTTGAGGCAAATGTGAATGTTGCAATTGGCCACTTTGATTAGCATTTAATGGCCTTGCAGGTTCAAAGACAGACTGCTTCCATTAAATGCTAATCAAGGTGGCCAATTGCAACATTCACACTTGACTTC